CCAGCATGGATCCAGACCAGCCTGCGCATCCGCGCAGTCTGATCAGGATCAATGCTGTTCGCTTACAAACACTATAACAAATAGAGAAACTGATAGCGAACAGCATGGATCCTGATCAGACTGCGCGGATGCGCAGGCTAGTCTGGATCCATGCTGGTCGCAAACCCATTATGTTGGTTTTGTCATGACACGGCTCAATTATCATTTACTAAAAGCATACATAATATGTGTGTCAAATATGAATGTTAAAATTCAAATGTTCATATCACTTTACTGCATGAATAATTTAATATGATTCCGTGTAGACATCTGTTTTTAAATGTTCCTCGTTATGTTAATGAACATTAATTGAAATATTTAACAATTAATTAGCCGTCAGAATTAATTAACCGTAAATTTATTCAAGTAACAAAATTGAAATATAGACAACAGTAAAGTTAATTATTCATTCATTTATTAATCAGGCAGGTACTGACGCGTAATGTACACGTGAGTATAATGAACAGATGATAACATACATGTAGTTATTGGAAGATGTACAAACATAAATATAACATATATTTTGGTATATCAACAAAAATCATTATCATCTTAAAAGTATATTAATTTAGTTTTAATTAACATCTTTACATACTGATAGAATAGCATACTAGCGCAATATATAAGTGGTACATAATTTTAAAGAAAGACCTTTCAATTAGTCTGACGTTTGACTGAGGTATAAAAAGACATCGTCAATACTGCATATTTCAACTTTGACAATGAATAGTATAAGAAATGACATCTATGTCAAAGTTGGCCTAATCCAAATTATGTTTCAGCTCATTCTGAACTTTTTATTGAACTTTTCCTTGTTTCGTCTTCTGAACCTTTTGCTAATAGTGGCGTTGGTAAAATATTTTTCAATTAGAACATTTGTAAAAAAATGTCCATCCATACTTAAACGCAAAATTTAAGATAAATGTATTCTTCGGGGATTAATTCCCTTTGAAAAATCCCGCTTCAAAAGTACTGAAATTTCACTAAAAATTAACAAATATACATTCCTTGCCAAACGCACCAACTCTTATCATTTTTTCCAAATTGCTTAAAATTATGACATTACAAATGTTCTAACTTTTACACTCAAGGCAAGAAGACACTGTCCTACAAACCAGATTACACGTGCACTGAAGGTCTCCCAAAGAACATATTTTTTAATAATTGAAAGCCCAATGTGCTCTTAAGAAGGTAATGAAGACAAAACACACTTTCTTCTATCATGTCCACTTTACACAATTTAAAGAAACACTGTGCAACACCACGCCAATCAATGAAAGTTATTTCTTTTTGGAAAAGTTAGAGTTTTCAGACATATGCAAAAAACAAAATCAACTATCACTTCTTTCCTGACTAAGATTGGCTTTCCTGAAATCTGTTTTCTTCTTCTTGGACTCTCGTTGCCTACCATCTTCTATATACTTTAAAGTTTAAACATATTCCTACTTTCACAATTCATGTAAAGTGTTTAGCAATAGGCAACTGTGTAATTTAATTTTCTTGGTTTTACACTTCTTGAAGATAATGCCTACCACATTGTTTTTATATTTTGCTCAGGTTGCTTATTAAGATTTGCACCGTTGTTGCAGCATTTAGCGTTAGATAGAATCGAAATTTGTAGAGGCTACAAGTATATATGCTTTACCAACACAAATACTTATCATTTCTATTATTGTTTCATTTGTATTGCGTATAATGTACAACATGTATATGAAATAATTTGAAAAATAAATACTGTTTAAACCTATGCAAACCAATACATGTCAAATACAAAATGTGTATGATGTACATGTACAATTACTTTGATAAAACGTTTCTGTATGTACGAGTATGTATGTATGTATGTATGTATGTATGTATGTCGGTCTGTGTGTGTGTGCGTGTGTGTGTGTGTGTGCGTATTTTCAGTAAAGTAGAAGATATTATGTAAAATTGATCTCTTTGTAATACACGAGAAACTGGTATGTTCTGGCGAAATTAGTGATAATTATTCGTGCACATATAACTGAACAATTACCTGTTTGAAAAGTCAAGACTGTAGAGAGAGAGAGAGCAAACTTTGTCATTGAGATAATTTATATTAGGAAAAGTAATATCATTTTAACAAAAGATATATCTGCGATTTTTATACATTTAATGATCTGTTTGAAGTTTTGACCAAAACTTAGGATGACTAAATTATTCAATCGCAAAATTAAAAATTATCTTTATTTAAAAAATAGATTTTATAACTATATATTAGAAACTACAAGATTTTTTTTTCAGAAAAATATATCCGTTTAGATAAGGCGTGAAATTGTATTTCAATCTATTGCAAAATTGCTAAGATGTTTACTACAGTTTTCTTAAATTAGTACAAGCTTTATGTTTATGCTTTATGCTTTTATGCAATATTTGTGTAAAACTTTTGATATGCTTATCATTAATTATTGCTAAAATTTGTTGTAAGTTTTGGTATATAGATTGAAAATGTCTCAATAAATAGTCTATGACATTTTATCTACAAATAATCTAGGTGGTAAATCTAAGAGTTGGCCTTTGTAAAACTTGGATCAATGTGCTGTTATGAGTTGGCATTTACAAATAAATAGAAAATTACATATATACATATATAATGACATGAATTATTCTTGATATGCATCATGATTTTGTAGAAGTTGGACCTAGTCCAAGGTAATCTTATTTGTGTTTTTATTATGAACTGGACATTTCAAATGTTTGTCGAGAAACAATAGTGGGTCACTGTTGTTATATATAAATGTAGAAACACTTATTTCAAAACAGAACTTTAAATTGATTTCTTTAAAATTTGATTTTAAAATTTTAAAAAACAACAACATATTTAATGATATGATATAAATTCTAAGTGAAATCTAACGTAGATATGTTTTGATTTGAAATAATTAGCACTAACGAAAATATACGGCAGTGTTCATAATAAATGTAATATATATTTTTATATATTGTATCTCTCTTCAACACATTGTCAAACTAACGCCAATACTAAGGCAAATGAGTACATATATGCTACTTTCGCAAGGATTTTTTTTTTCAAAACAGATGGACAGTATGGGAATAAAAAGGCATTGATATCAGAGCATGTAATACTTGCTTTGTGCATAGACATCCGTTTTTTCTTAAGATATAGAAATCGTTTAATGTAAATATGTGTTAGAACTTATTGCCTTTTCGTACAAATGGTGTATTTCAATTTCGCATAAATGAATTCTCGTCAGACATACTTCCAGTGTTTGAGTTAATGTCATTCGGATGCCTTGAAGTGGAAAAATAATTGCGCTGCTCTATGTTGACCGGACAACAAATAAACGATATATTCACAATAGGACTGTCAATGGTTCTAGGTCGGAATCTGACATTTATCTGAATATTGTCTACAGAGGTTTCATTAAATAAACCAGTAGTCAAGAAATGTATTTCAGCCAATGATTTATTTCTCTTAAAAGACATGTGGCGTTCTAATTCTGGGCTGATTATGCACATAATTTGCATATAAATGTTCAAAGCGAATCTTACATTCCATTTGGTTTAAACATCTTGTATTCAGAATTTTTACACATGTGTAAGTAACAACATTACAATAATACGTTTCATTTGACAATGTTAAGATAATATTCATTCAAGTTTAAATATGTCTGTGATTGATAAAACGATTGCAAACTATATCAACCTTAGTCAACTTCTTATTACATACTGACCAGTCCTAACTTCGGAAACACATGTTTTGTGTCTGACACATATCAAAATTCTTTTTAAAAGGGGGAAAAAGCTGATAAGCAGGAATGTAGGTTCAAGTAATGACAGGATCAAGAACATGTGAAGTCACTGACATATTTTCATAGACCTGGCCGCATTTCGAAAGTCTATGAAAAACTTTGATCCCAGTTATGTGTCATACTTGTTATCAAAGATAAGTGAGTTTAGCGTATACATGGAATAAAAAGCTTTACTACGAAAGACCGATAGGGACATTTTAACCTCAAGAAGTTGAAATAGTGAATTCATGAAGTTAGAATTATTAATTCGCGAAGATAAAAACGGTAATGCATGAAGTTGATATGTTCCCCTTAACATGGCCACACTGACAAATACACTTTGATACGTTACTATATACAATTGCAGGTTGGTTGGCATCAACACTGCAAAAGTGATTTGTCGACTTTCCAGCTTTACGAGACCCTCGTGTATACATGGAAAACAGCAAGTATTTATTCACCAACCAAGGTTCAATGTACATTAGTCACATTAAATTTACAATAACCATTTCATGTTTGATAGTTTATCCTGGGAAAACAGTTCTATGGTCATTACGGCAATGTTCCAATTTTACCTAAAAGTTCTCTTTTCTTTCACTTATTTTTTTCTGACGTGTGTACTTTTACTTATTTTATCAACCAATTTTAGAAATGGAAAACGTTCATGCCGATTAACTGCCATGCAGTTGACTATGTTCAGTCGTGTATTAACTAACAGATGTTACAATATTTATAATAGATATATCACAATAAACAACATAAATGTATTTGTATTTTGATAAGTTCATAGAGTTAGATTAATTTAGTGTTTTTATTTAGGAACAGGTTTCTTCATTATATATATTTATTACAAAATTAAATTGGTCAAGAGCATCTGCAGTCAATACCAACCAATTTAGTGTCAACTTTAAACAGTCGACGTACTTGAAGCAAATTTACCACAGTATATATGCCTTACGATTCATTTGAAATACTGTAATCCTATTGGACAAACAATGATTTCAAACACTAAGAATTGTATGTGACATTTGATGGACAATAGTAAGTTCTGCTTATCCTATCAGGTAAACAATAATTTCATAACATGGTGTAATGTGGACGTAATGGTCGTAGTTTGTTTAATATTATACTATTATTATTTTTATTGTTACAAAAGATAAAATACCTTTACCTAAAATATATTCTTACCTGTGGAGTGACAAAAACATGTGGGTTTTCATGGTTAAGACCGATTTTCTCTAGCTGGAATTCGTTGATTGCAAACTCCGTGCAGTGGTTTGTCATGTCCGTAATCTCTAATTTTCAAGTGTTACAACTTTTTGTTCCAATGATTCCAACAAAAACCGCACTGACAATCCGTCTTTCAAATCCAATTATTTTTTTTCTTCACTTTAATTGAATTTCATGTTTCAGTTGTGACTTGAGTCTTTATTTCTCCACGATAATGGAACATTTTTCAATCAAGATCACATTGAAGCGGCATTAATCCTGGAATGTTGGGGCGACAGACTGCGGCGAATATTCAGGCCGCTTAAAGGGCATTTATTCCCCGTTTGTACATTATATTGGATTTTCCCAAGAGCAAAGTATATAATGAAAGTTGCAATCTGCTGCCGTGGTATAATTACAGTAATTGTTATAGATGAGTACATGTATAATGTTCATTATGTTTATTATGATATATTACAAGCGAAAGTTAAGAGAGAGAGAGAGATTTTTATATTCGTGTTTAACGCTTTCAACGAAAACTGGCGGCTCATTTATAATGTCATCTTGCCCTCATGCTGACGATCCCATGAGACTTCTTTAATACGAATGTGGGTGCATTATTATTTGAAATATCATCTTAGAAGGCCACACAAGCAAATTTGTATTTTCCACTGAAATATTGAGTGATTTACGCACAAAGTTATACGTTGGATTAAGCCTATACCAGGCCCATTCAAATGCTGAAATGCTAGTCTACAATGGAGAAGCAGATGTACCCGAAATATACACTGACCAGTTTTTATATTTCATTTCACCAATGATTCCGCCTGTTTTTAAGCCTCAAGCCAACATAAAATAATATTCACAGGAGGAGCCATTTCTACCAGGAAGAAATTCAATATCACAAAAGCATCCGAGCGTGGTGTATTAGAAGCCAATTGATAGCTATCTCTCTATGTTATGTTTTAATGTCATGTGGCAGTTTAAACTGTAATGTGTTTTATTCAGGTAATGGAAATAATTTGTGTTAAAATATTTATGCCCATTATTCCCTTAAAGTTCAGCACCTGAAAGCATCAATATAACATATGCTAATCTGAACCAGGTAGTGAATTCGCACAACTTGTATCACAAAATTCCAAAATCAAGTTTAGACAAGACAAACCTTGGGTTACAGAAACGTATCGAACAGTAGTTCTAATAATTTAACAAATTATGAACAGCATTCAACATAGCTTTTGATGTTGAAGTGGTTGATTGGCACATTTCGATTATGTAAGCCGGATAATGGATCTTATCAGTGTTAAGTTTTATGCAAATTGTTTGACTGGCTATCCAATTGCTATACTGGGATTAACTAAATATTTGTTTCCCTGGTTTACAGAAAAAAATGTCGACCTGTTGTGGGCAGTTGACTAAGCAATGAATAGAAAATCTTCCCTGCTAAAAACTGGAAAAGGTCCGTTGAATTCTGTGCGGTACTACATCTCAGCTCTAAAATATTTGGTTTGGTTTAAAATAAAAACCAGTAATAAAGGTCATATTGCAATATAGTTAATACAGGAACCGGTTGAAGCGGGTGGTGCTCCCCGAATAGGTTTTGGACACAGGAAAGAATATATCTTGTAGTGTCAGTTTTGTCACAGACGAAATTCAAAGAGTAAAAAAATGAACAAAGGGCAATAACTCCAGAATTAAGCAAGACAGTTATAGTTATTTTGCACTGCACTTCTATTTAATGAGGGCAATCTACCTACAAAAGTTCATGTTCATACCTCTTATGTCAAAGTGTAAAAATGAACAGAGGACAATAACTCAAAAATAAGGCATGGCAAAGTAATGGCTCTTTTGAATTGCCGCAGAAAGTTCAAAGTGTAAAAATGAACAAAGGGCAATAATTCCAAAATTAGACAGGACAGAGTTATTGTTCTTTTGCACTGCACTTCTACTCAATGAGATATATCTATCTACGAAGTGCCATGTTGATATTTCATATAGTTTTTTATCTACATACAAAGTTTCATGTTGATAACTGTTGTTGTTTCAATGTTATGTCCCAGACAAAATTAGCAGACGGAAGGACGGACAAAGCGGCGACTATATGCTCAACTCCTGAGTAGTCCTTATTAACGCTACCCTGGTACAAAAGGTCACCTTCTCTCGACCTTTCGGTCAATCATCAGCGAGCTTTCACAATTTTGATAGCGATGCGTTTTCTAATTTGATCCGCTGGAAATCTGATACTGGGCAGGTAATTTTTCAAAATTTCGAGAAAAAATATGGCATTCTATATAGCCGGCAGGTAAACTGGCAAAACAATCTTGCCCATTAAAAACAGAGTCCATTATTTCCAGTTTATTTTTTTCATATTACTTCAAATAATTTGTTTTTCTAACAAATTTCAACAATTTGTTTAACTTCCACGGGCAGTGATATTTTGATACTTCGTTTAATGCCTATCTGTAAAGGACAGTTTGATTGCATGGCTAAAATTAGCTTTCTCGGGGAAATTCGGATCACAATGAAACGAAACAAATACGGTGGTTATCAGATCTACATGCAAGAAATAACTAAGGTAGATTTAAATAGATTGGGTCATATTGTAACCTTTCAGGCTTTTTGATCGAGTTCCTGCTCAAACACTATTCTAGGCATTATCAGGTACTACAGTGCCCTCCAAAAGTTCTTGGACAAACTATTTTTGGTAGTGTTTACATAATTTAAATGATGTAAAACATAAATCATAAGTAAAATGATGATAAATTTAGTAAAAGTATTTATTAATTTTTGTATAATCACAAAAAAAAGTTAACATCTAAGTATAATGCACAAACAGCAAGAAAATTTGAAAACTGTGGACATCAACATGATGCTAATTACGAAAGTAGTGATCTACTTCAGTACTTTGTGTTACCTCCTCTGGCCCTTATAACAGCTGGAATCCATCGTGGCATGCTTCTTACGAGTCTTTCACATGATTCAGGACGTACTGAATCCCAAACAGTTTTCACATTTTGTTCAAGCTCACGGAGATTATGGCTGTGTTTATTTCTGAGTTCAATTTTCACAATCTGCCACAAATTTTCAATGGGGTTAAGATCAGGTGACTGAGGAGGCCATTTTAAACACTTAAATTCATTCTCCTCTTTCCATTGTTCAACAATTCTAGCTCTATGGCAGGTAGCACCATCATCCTGGAAGATGAAGTTGTTACCATACCCCAACAAATGCGCCGAAGGTATAGCACAGTCCTCAAGAATCTTGATGTATCCTTGTGAATTAAGTCGGCCATCAACACGAGACAGAAACCCAGTGCCCCTATAACTCATTGCTCCCCACACCATCACACTACCACCCCCAAATTTGACAGTTGGGGCAACACAGTCATCACTTAATTGTTCACCTGAACGTCTGCGAACATAAACACGCCCATCACTTTGGAATAAATTAAATTTAGACTCATCTGAGAACATCACAGTTGACCAATTAACCCAAGACCAATCAGCATGCTTTCTGGCAAAGTTCAAACGGAGTTGCCTGTGTCTTGGTGAAAGCAAAGGCTTCTTTATAGCCAAATGGCCATAAAGTCCCGACTCATGTAGACGACGTCTCACTGTTGTTGCAGATGCAAACACATTTGATGATTGCCAATCTCTTCGCAGCTCATTCACTGTTGATTTCCTGTTTTGCAGTAAAGCTCACACTAATATTAGGTCATCTCTTTTGTCTGAAACTTTTGGCCTCCCTGTCCTAGCACGATCTTTGTGGGTACCAGTGGCCTCATACCATTTCAAAGTGTGGTAGACTGTTGACCTGAAGTAAACAACGACAGATAAGAAAACAAAATTAGAACAGCAAGATTAATAACATATAGCAGTAAAAAAAAACACAATTTGGCTCAAAAATTTTGAACAAGAAACATTTCAAGAAAGCTAATTTCTTACCTTGGTCGATCCATCTGAATGGCGATATCCACTACTGAGACTCCCTGCTCCCTCATAATCTGGCATCGTAATCTTTCCTCTAATGTTAACATTTTGAATTGGGGTTGACTTACAGGTTTCATATTTTCAATATAAAGCAAATTTTTGATGCAAAACACAGTGGAAACCTTTCTTAGGAGAAACTTACTTTTATTATTTGAAATTTCATATCTTTACTAGAGAATGTTAAATGTCAAATATCTAATTTATTAAAGCACTGTTATTGCTGAATTTTTATGAAATGCTTTTTGAAGTACTCCCCTTTATTCTACTCATTAACAGAACCAAATTCTTTTATAAACTATTGAAAGATGAAGCAAAGTTTGTCAGTGAATGATAAATTTTGAGTATGTCCAAGGACTTTTGGAGGGCACTGTATAAGATGACTGATATGACATATTTACCAAGACTATTAATACATACAGGCATTTATACCTCTCCCAGTTATATAAACAAATGGAACATATATGCAACACTCTGGTTCATACATATTATTCTTTTATTTACAAATAATATACAATATAGACACAATATCACAGAATATCAGCTTAACATCTCAATAAATTAGTATAATATAAAATGTAAAATATGTAAAATAAAAACCTTAAAACTGCTGAAATAAACAGAAATCCTGGCACTCAGATTCTTCTAGCAAATAATTTAGATCTCTAAAACTAATATATTGACAAAAACAATAAAATAGTTCTAAATCACAACATGTGTTCTTCCCAATCTAATCATTAATATCCTTGCATTGCCCTTTTTAGCGAGGTACAACACTGACAACTTTAACTAAGGTTAAGGAAACATGTGCTATTCTATAAATTGTAAAGATTTTCTACTTTGTAAGGAAAAGAAGTAAAAAAAAATAATAAGTCAATATTATCTGTCAATGAAGAAATAGTAAAACTGAAGTAAAATCACTTAACAAAAAGTACATAATACAGTGCATGAGATCACATCAATTGTCTATGCTGTTAATAAGGCAATTATAACAATTTTAGGCTACCACATTATTTCTCTACATGATTCATATACCATAAAATAACACTCACTTTATTTGATGCAGAAAGTCAAAGATAAAAATTGCTTTACAACAAAAACATTTTTTTTTATACTTGTGCAGGTAAGGAAAATAGCAGAAAAGGATCTTTGCAACACCTTTAAAACTTACAATATCCAATGTAGTTATTCAAAGCAGAAAGAAGACTTGAAGCACTACCAGTGTATGTTAATAGAGATAATGAATCAAATAAAACAGATTCACATCAAGTCCGGTGTAAAAAAAATCTTTCAAAAGAATCAATCAATTTGCGACAAAAATAAAATTATCTGAAAATTAATTTATCACCTGAATTGAGTTATCAATCATGCAGTTACTAGGAAACATCTTCCCCTTATCAGATCCATCATTCTTCCTACAACTGGCACTTATTTAATTAAAGACAGAATTAATTGGCAGAATTTCTTCTCTGCCTCTTCACTAATACTTTAAAGACAGACGTGCATGACAGATAATTCACTTATTTTTCATGATCAGATCTAATAATTGTACAAGACTGAATGATTTATTTTGTATTGGTTCAAGGCAAACAGGGCCTACACTAATTACTTCATATGGCAAAATTTAAGCTTTAATACTAGCATAACCCTAAATTTCCATGTGTGCACATATTATTCTATTCATGAAACTGCATCTATATAAGACTGTCTGAAATAAAATGGTCATTTCATTTTAAATAGTCTAATCTTTTTTAATCTGAACAAAAAACATCTCATAGAATAATCCTTAAGTTATCAAGCTCTTAATGAAAGGCAACATTTTTATAAACACATATTGATTCTGATTGATGTAAGTGATATAAAATGGAAGCTAAATAACTTCAAGAATACTCACTATATAATCCAACTTTGGGATCTTCTCTTTTAAGTTATGTGTTTAAGTAATACATCAAGGTTATTGACTCTTTACCAACCTTTCAGTGAATCAATCTACATGGAAAATTCTACAAGTGTTATAAATATTGCTTTGAATGCATAAGAAGTTATAATGGGGTACAATTTTTATTTTTTTGTAAATCCTGAGGAACTTGTCGTAATTAATGTCCACTTGGACTTCAGAACCTTAAAATCCAATGTTACGTCTGTATCATTACACATTAAGTCCTCACTATATCATAAAATGCATCTGTCTGATGATGGTATAATCTATGAGATGATAGTTTATCTAATTATAAATCTTTCTGATTCATTTGTCCTGTAATTTTGTGTTGGTTATCTAAACATTCTCGTAACTTATCTTCTGTCATTGTTAACCTCTGCTCCAACAATGAAACAGTCTGAAAAAACAAAATAGAGCAAAATTGTAAGTGGCTTGTTTATCCTTCTGGTGAGTTCATGTGGATGTCATATTTTATGACAAGTTCATATCTTATCAATTTATGAATACTGGTATAAAACAATGCCTCCTTGTTGAGGATTTCACTAGCTTCTTTTCCTTTATATGTAATGGAAAAGCAAAACTATTGGGGCATGTATGCATTTGTTTCAGTTTTGCTATTTTCATTTTAAGTTCTTACAACAAACAACAATCATACAAACATGTTCTTCAAATGAAATTTTGGCATGCCAACTTACATATAAATGATCAAAATAAATATTACCAATTGAATTATTCTTATACAAATGTAAAATTCAACCTTGTTTGACAACTAATATCTTTACAGTAGCATTAACCATAGAAAATATAACCTTTCACTACTACTGTGCAAAATTTTAATATACAGCACCTTATTAACAATTTATATACCATTTCAGCATTTTATTACATAAATTTCATTACTTAACTACTTTAATGAGCAATAATGTACTTTAATGATATGAAGTTTCAATGAAAACATAGAGATAGCTGTAATCATTTCTCTGTTATCAGCTGTTTCAATGTCTGTATTATTGTAGTAAATGCAATCTTATATCACATTAAACTTCCAATGAAGGAATTATTAGTTTAAATCACTGAAGAAAATGCCTGTATAAAATATTCATTGAATGTTGCTTATTGCAATTTAAATGGGCGTTTTGCAAATTAACTTAAAATAACAGTAACAACTATCCCTGTAAGTTGCCCAAAGAACAACAGCATCTTATATATAAATTTATCTTGATATAAAATTATAGACAACCAGTCACTGGTATACGTGAGTATATAAACAATCTTCACATTATACACTCAAGGGGAAGTCATAATAATATATTATCATTGACTGCTCATTTAGTTTCAATGTAAAATGTCTTTGATGCTATCGATTTGAGACTTTTCAGCTCCAAGTAAGACATGGGATATGACACCGTTTTTAATTTTCTTAACTTTGGATGTCTGTGTTATAGTCATATGATGACTTGCCACATTCAGCAGTGGAAAAACTACCCCTTTATACATTATCTTGTGCACCAGCAGATATCATTTAAGGATCACCATTCTTCATCATTTTTTGCCATGGTTAAGCCCACAATACACATGTATGCATCTGCGCAGGCTGGTCTGGATCCATGCTGGTCGCCAACGCACTATGTTGGTTTTGTTGTGACGCCGCTCACATCATAATGAAAACATTTAGACAAATTGTGTAATGTTCTTACTTGTGTAAGTATATCTAGCTGCCCTACTATATGTTCTAATGTTCCTGCTAATTGTGGTGGCATGGCTGCCCTCTGTTCCAGCGGCTGAGTTGTTGACTTGGGTTGAAAATCGTCTCCTCGTGACCTTGACCTTGAATCAGCTGACCTCATTTCTACATCATCACTTGTTGACAGGGGCTGTACAAGAAAAGAAAACATCAAAAAAAAATGAAAATATTTAGACATTTTATTTTCTGAACATTGCAGTTCCTTTAAATAATGGATGTAAAGTGTATGCAATAAATTTGTTAACATATGCAGAGACAGTTTCAGATAAATGATTCCATGTTTTTAATTAATGCTCTGTATATATGAAAACAGAATGAACCCTCCTCTAAATTATTATTTTAGAAGGTTTAACCCTTAGCCTGCTCCCATCATCTGATTCCAATAATGTAACCAGTGCACACCATAATCAACAGCTTCGCTGGCTGATCTACAAATGCTGACCAAGTTTAACTGGACCTGCCATCTGATCATAGTCTGCACTGTTTGCTATTCAGTCAATAAGTATGTTGAAATTTCCCCTAAAAATGATGATTGGTTTTGTCCAGATTACATATTTAGCGTGGCAAGGGGTAATAATGATTTCACACCTACGCCACCCACTTTATTGGAAATTTACAAACATCATTCTTCCAATAAATGTATAATTGTGATCAAGATAAAATTTTCTACCTACTCAAGTCTATTATACTTTATACTCTAAGTTTCATTTTAAATCAGTTTGTTTGGTCTTATATACATGTATCTATCTATACTAATTATGGATATTCTATATCTGAGCATAGACATCTGCTATAATCACCATATACCAGAGATAGGGACAATTAACTGATAAAATCATTTATCACATTACAATATACTTGGCAAAATCTTTAATTAAATAAACAATTAAATGACTCATTTGTACAAAAGTAATCATTTTTAAGTGGCAGATACATGCAAGGATAAAACAATTATTTAATACAAACAGGCATATCATAAAACATGAGCAGGAGAGACTGCATGCATTCATTGATTACCACAGAGAATGATGTTTTCCCTAACATCTGTGACAGAGTAGGTTTCTCTCATAAAATATACATTTCATGTCGCTATTTACAATGAGACATTATTGTATTGATATACAATACACAAGACAGTATGTTGTAGGTCTTAATAAAAATCAATTATGTATTATGATAGAAAACCAGATATATGATAACTTTCAGCCTGCTGGTGTATACTTAACATCCTGTCACCCCCCCACACACACACACCACACACACATCACTTTGTATTTGATCATTTCTATACATAAAGTCTACATTCTCTATTTTGTGTAAAGGAGAAATAATTCAAAATATTTAGTATACAAAATTAATAAAACATAAACATTCTTGGTACAAGTATCTTAAAAGCAGAGATATTTACTCTTTTAAACCATCAAATGTCACTTATTACCAATCTCAGTATTGTCAATTATTATATATAAATTGCAATAACATTATCTATCTGTTTATCATATCAGGGTTCCCACTCTTAGATATTTTGAAAATTTAAGGACTTTTCCAGGACTTATCAAGGACCTTTTTTGATTTTTTAAGGACTTTTTAGAAGATTGAATTTCAAGCTATTCGATTTTTTTGTCCTATGAATATTTTCATGGTAATGTTTAAAACAACATTTAATAACAATATAATACATGTAGTTCATGACATAAATCTAACTCTATCTAAGAAATACATTCAGTGTCTATAAGTAATGAAATGTACTTTGTGACAGCAACTGTTGCAGGTTGTCTGCAATTTTCATGTAATTTTGGTGTTTTTAATGCTTCCAAGGGATCACTTTTTTTACAAGATATTCATAGTACTTAATAAGTAACCTCACATTTGACCTCAGTCCACTTAGGTACATAGAATGGCAAAAGCATGTCACACTGAAGGGTATATGAAAACTGCCTGCAGGTGTTTCTACATTAAAAATTTCACAACTTTCATGTTTAAATGTTGTACTCTGCTTAAGCCAGTGCTACGGGTTCTACAAAATATGGCAGCAGCACAAAATACCCAAACACACACAATTATAGCAATATTCATTTTGGTTTGTATACAATATAGATTTTAATGAGAAAATGAATTGATATTTTCAAAATAATGTGACTTAGCCAACTATTACTTTCATTCATTCCGTTGAAATTGGCAGTTCAGATGTTGTAAGAAAAAAAGTGACATTTGCTTTTCTAACTGTTAGGTTCATTAATGAATAGACAAATGTACTTGCAAGATATGAGATTTGTTGTCTACATCTAAATTTGAAGGGTATAATTTTGTTGTAAGTTCATTCGTATTATTTTTTTTATTTAATAGTTTTCATGGAGTATACTGTATTTGGGTATATTTTGGTTCAAAAATGAAATTTTGGGTATGTTCGATTACATCTTAGTGAAAGTGTATATTGTATTCATGATTAAAACAGCACTTTTTTTAGTATAACACATTCATTTTTAGTATATTGTGGCTAATATTTGGGTATTTCTTGCTGGTAGACAGACGTTTCACTATTGAGACAGTTCACACCAAGACGGTTCACACCAAGACGTTTAACTCCCAAATGGGAGTGAAACGTCTTGAAGACGTTTCACCCCCTTTTTATACCAAAATTATTTTGATACTTATGATATACTAAAATAAACCTAAAATATTGAATTGAATTGAACTAAAATAGACCTTAAATTTAATAAAAAATAAATTAAAAGGGGGATATTACTTTTTTGTCAATGACTTAAAACTCAGTACTTTAAGTTCTATCATTTCAGTTATCTTATCTTCTTTATTGTTGTTTTGAAAAAAAGTTTTTTCAATTCTTTGATCCATATGTGCAATTATCACATTATTTCACTTAAAGAAAAAATATTTTTGATTAAAATAGCACTTTAATATAACTAGCTATTTGATCTTTTGTAAACATGGACTCAATAGGCAATTTTAATTTAAAGCATAACATTTTTGTTTTTAAACATGGGATAAAAATTTGTTAAATTATTTAATGCTAGTATAGTGCTTTTGCGATAAATGTCAAAAAATTTGATGGCCATTGAAATCAGAAATATCTTTTAAATTAAATTAAAAGCATTTGGACTTTTTTCAATATTTGTCATGTACAATCATTTTTTGTGACAAAAATTCATTATTATATATAAGCAAAACTTATGGAAAAGTTTCTGTGTTTAATTTGCCTGTTGTCAAAAAATATTTTAATGGTTCAATAAACAACTGATTAGTAAACTGTTGATGCTTAAGTGCAGTGTTTATACAACTGATTCAATAGTGGTGTCAAACTGTTAGTTGATTGTCTCAGTGTTTATACAACTAATTAGGCAATGAGATAACACCACAATTACTTAAGTTTGTTTAATGGCTACTGTTTAATAAATTGATGAAGAAAATAATTTTAAAAAATAATTTATTTTATACACATGTTTCGCATTTCATTGTTTAAGACTTACAAAAAATAATCATTATATAGTCAATATATTTAATATATTGATATTTTTTATTATTTGAATAATATTAATTACTTTACTGGTAGTGATTTCAATATTTAAACTGATACTTATAATATGTCTTTGTTGTTCTTTCTATGTTATTCTATTTTTTTTAATTTACTATAAATAGAATTTTCTCATGTTGTTACACTTATAATAAAAGTGATATTTCAGAAATTTGTCTTTCATTTACACCTCTTATCACTCAACCCATAATTAAATGAGTAATATTCTAATTAATAATTTGTATTAACAATATCATTGAAATCAACAAAATGAAACATTAAATTGAATCTCCTTTTTACACTGTTTGATATTAATGAAATTAAAATTTGTTAACTTTTCTAGTAAACATCTCTAAAAATTGGGAGTGAAACGTCCATACAATTGACAAAATGGGAGTGAAACGTCTAGGTGTGAACCGTCTTGGGAGTGAAACGTCTCAATAGTGAAACGTCTTGGGAGTGAAACGTCTGACATTCTTTCTTGCTACCCAAATATGGTGTGGCCAACTGGCTGTGCTCTGCCTTGACAATAAATCATGTATGTAATACTATTGTTTATTTTATATTGATTTACCTTTGGCTTTTAGCATGGTTGTGAGCAATAAGGTTAAACAAATTGCCCAAGGAAACAACCAGACCTGTGAGCTTTCATGTTTCTTAGCACGGGCCAATCAAGCAAACTTGTGGTCGATTTGTGACTGTCTTATAACATTTTCCAAACAAAACCGCCATAGTAACCAGAAAATAAATGTTAAATCTCATAAATGTCAAACTTGGCCTCCCAAAACACTTGTAAATCGAAAAATCATCAACATTCAAGATGCAGAAGTCAATATACTGTGCTAAGACCGCCATTTTGGTTTTGTTTGATTTACCTCCCCTTTACCAGACTAATTCCCGTACCTTCCCGGACTTTTTTATGTATCAACACTAATTCCCGGACTTTTCAAGGCCGGGAGCTCCTGTTTTCAAATTCACGGACATTTCCCGTTTTCCCGGACAGCGTGGGAACCTTGTCATATATAAAGGTAAGAGTCTGTCAGTTGTGAAGCTGTCATTCTGGCATTGTGAAGGTGTATTTTAAAGTGAGAAATCCTGTATCACATAAAAGTCCTTGACTGGACATGAATATACTGCTGTAAACTGCAAGTGAATCTGTGTCAGCTACCTTACCAATCATCTCAACATGTCAGCTAGTTTACCCATTCATTTCAACAAAAAAATAAAACCAAAACTATCTTCTTTTATGTAGTTACATAACAGACTACATTGTTTTACCTCATTTGAAGAAAACATTGCAGGTCCTACTTCTGTAACTTCAGGGGCTTCGTCATCCATGTTCCTGATTTCACTACGAATTCCCTGTAAGCAAAGTGAGGCATGCAATTAGTACATGCAAGTATCCAACACCTAAAGCAGTTACACTTAAATATATGCAGTGCTGATTTAACGGGGCTGGTGACAAGGTTTATGAGATGACGAGGGGAAAGATGCATTGTAAAGGAGAATATGGAACTGCCAAAGGTCTGGCAAGAAAACCACTTTGTAAGAAGGTTATTCATTTTTGACTTTATAAAAAGTTTAGAAGAACCTGTAACGTATGAGACTTGTCAAAGATATATCATGTTAGATATTGTTTGAACAGGCCTAGCTTTTTTTCACTAAGGCCTTCAATCAATTCCATTTTCATGCATATTATAACTATTATTGACTACAAATACAACTGAAAACACATTTATTTACACATTTGCATAAAAATCACTGAATGAAAATGTCATTTCAGTTATGGCAGACCATCACACAGGGATATAAAAACTTTGTGGTGGTACAAATTGTGAAAAAATAGAAATTGCAAAAATGGTAAAAAATTGTTACTTCTTCCTTTCATTTGATAAGCATAGTGTAAAGACACGCTAAATGTTTGCGTTATACTATAGACGCGTCAGTTAAAACTGACACTTTTTTCAATTAAATGGTCTTTATTTTGGGTATGTTATTAAAAAGAATATTAAATTTGTTAATAACTGAATTTATTGAACTGGTTGAATAAAATAATATCATGCTCGCCAGAGACTGGCATAATATAATTTTTATTCAACTTGCACAATAAATTCAGTATTGAACTTACCCTCATTCAATATCCTCTATTTATTTCATTAGATATGCCCATGATTTGTGTCCTTGATTTCTTTTACATACATTTTATCCAAAGTTTTTGCAATTAGTACTTTGGAAAACTTTACAGTTAAAACAGAATATATGTGTGTAATTTACTCACAGCAAATTTTGTTCATTTTAACCACATGTCTAAACCTAACTTGTAAGATTGGTTACTAAGTGCCAATTTTTCAATGTTTTAATACTTAATGTTCTTATGCAGATACAAATACACCATAAATTTATTTTAGAAAGGAATGAAAAGGACATCAAAAATTACATCTCATTTACAATAAAAAATGAGGTTAAGCTATTACAATGAATGTTTATATTTGATGCCATAGCTACAAGCAAGCAGCATTTTCATTGACGTTTTATTTTGCAAATAGTAAGATTTTTAACTTAACTGTTTTCACAGTCAAAGGGAAGTAACCCTACAATGTAAGACACCATCAGTTTTGTGGAGATAAAACACATTATTTAGGACACTCATAAGTCAACAATGAAATAACATTTTTGACATAATCATTTTTATGATAAAGACCAAAGTCTCTCAAACAAAAGCATTTTAAGGCCTGAAAAGTATTGTATAATACAAATTCATCATCTGTTTAGGACCAACATCTATAACACTAATAATAAGGATACCACTTGTATCCTATTTTTGGACCATCATGTCATTCTTTGATTAATAAAACAAGATATGTTTGTGCAACATGTATGCCCCCTATCGGCAGCCAATTAGTCATGTGATCAGGTTATTATGCATGACTTCTGACCCAGTAAACAAACAATTAATAAGGGTTATCTAGTATCTACTGGTCATGACTAGTCACAAGGTAATAATTATTGTGACCCCATAAGTTGTGTGCAGCAATTTAAGTTATTACAAATCTTGCATAAATTTTATGAATCATGTAGGCATCATTAATGACAGCCAAGTTGTTATATTACATAAGACCATATGTGTATACCAAAAGCATTTTTAGTTTAATATAAAATTATCAACCAAGGCAACTCGAGTTGTAGAGTTATTGGTCAGAAACCGTCATTCAGTACAAGGTCAATATGACGTTGACACCTTGACCCCAAAATCAATAGGGGTCATCTACTGGTCATGACCAATCATCATACCAAGTTTGAAGTTCCTAGGCCTAAGCGTTCTTTAGTTATTGATCGAAAACCGTTTTTACCTACAAGGTCAATGTGACCTTGACCTTTGACCCCAAAATCAATAGGGGTCATCTGCTGGTCATGACCAATCACCATACCAAGTTTGCAGTTCCTAGGCCTAAGCGTTCTTTAGTTATTGATCGGAACTGTTTTTACCTACAAGGTCAATGTGATCTTGACCTTTGACCCCTTGACCCCAAAATCATTGGGGTCATCTGCTGGTCATGACCAATCACCATACCAAGTTTGAAGTTCCTAGGCCTAAGCGTTCTTTAGTTATTGACCGGAAACCGTTTTTACCTACAAGGTCAATGTGACCTTGACCTTTGACACCTTGACCCCAAAATCAATAGGGGTCATCTGCTGGTCATGACCAATCACCATACCAAGTTTGAAGTTCCTAGGCCTAAGCGTTCTTTAGTTATTGATCTGAAACCGTTTTTACCTACAAGGTCAATGTGACCTTTGACCCCTTGACCCAAAAATCAATAGGGGTTATCTGCTGGTCATGACCAATCAACATACCAAGTTTGAAGTTCCTAGGCCTAAGGGCTCAGAAACCATTTTGTCTACAGACTGACGGACCGACAAATGCAAAGCAATATACCCCCTCTTCTTTGAAGTGGGGGCATAAATAATAATAATTATATATTTCACCAAAACAGACTAATTTAAGGGACCCCAGCTTTTGATATGTAACTATTTGGGCATTTGCATGCACTTATTATATGAATTTAAGTGGAGATTGAGAATTAAATCATATTTAAACTGCATTACCACACTACTCTCATTATTTAGCATTTCATCCATCTATCCATCATGCACAAAGCTTGCGTGAATAAAATTTAATAATTTATAGAGAAACATGCTTTTTTTGTGTTAAAATTTGAAAATCAATAAAATACAACAGATACATACCTTGCCAGTGGCCCTGGATGAGGTGGTTGATGAAGATGTGGGTCGTTGTACCTTAGGGGCGATATCTGCTACAGTAGGGGCAGTATCTGTCTCCGCCCTTTGTTTGTGGTTCTTTAATAATTCACTAAAATCCATCTGATCAAAATTTGTCTTCCATACTAGTACCTGAAATGTTCAACAATACCTTGATATTACTAACACATTTTCTTACTTATTTTTTTTTGTTAACACTTTAAAACAAAATGTACCATGCTTTATCAATTTTCTCATTCATTTTTTTACCAACAACTTATGTTTATTAACTTACACAACTCAATTCAGGGCAGGAAAAAAACAACAAATATATTAATTAGAATAAGAACTTATTCCATATATCCATCTTTCATAATTGTTCTCTAATTATATATTAAACTTAAGATAACTTAGTCAGCATCCCCCTGCTGCATACACTGTAGTAATCCAGGATTGTTTATTTGTATCACTAAAACTTTTTATAGAGTTTAAAAGTCTATTGGTACTGGCCATTAGCTTTATAATAAGAAAATAAGCTCTGGGTCCATGCTGCTCTTATAATCAGGCTGTTTTCAATAAATAAACCACAGCAGTTCTAAGCCAGTGTGACCTAAGATTTATTTAAGATTCCCTTATATATCTCTTTATAATACTGCACGTTTGTAACGTCGCTTTTCATTGGATAATCATGACGTTTATATAATTTTATATACACAGCTGTTGTCCATTCATAAATAAATCTTACTTTTTTCTCTAAAAAAATTGATGCTTGCTTTATAACTTTATTACTTCGTTATAAAGATTGCTGACATATTATATGGCCAAATATAAACGGTTCTTTGCAATATAACACCCGCCTTGCGGCTCTGGTTATATATACAAACAACCGTTTATATAGGGCCATATAACCTGTTGAGAATCTTTATAACTAATAATGTGTTTGCCTTAAAGTTACCTGTTCATCAGAACCACCTGATGCGAAGTAATCTCCTGACCTTGAGAATGACACTGCAGTGACGGGACCTTGATGGCCGTGTAATGTGTAGAATAAACGTCCCTCTAACAGGTCAAACACCTTTAATTGACCATCATCAGACCCAGATAACAAATAATTACCACTAGAGTGAAATGATAAACTGTTTACTGCTGACGAATGAGCTGAAATAAAACAATCTTTTATTCATTAATTGAATATAATTTTAACACCAATACAAAATATGAAAGGTATTACTTTCCAGAGAAAAGTGAATATACCCTAAATAACATAGTAATCCTTTACATCATCATAACAACAAGGTGTACATTAAACATTATAGAACAAATCACTTCATGTTAAATGTAATCCTTTTCTTTCAATGTTATTAATGATAATTTGTGAATGTTTTAAGAGTATGTGTGCAAAAAAATCTTTATAATATAGGGGAGGCTACTCCAGAGATTATTTTAGTCTTTAAATGTTTCCATGTTAGAATCTACATTAATTTGTTTTCAATATAATAATATCAAAAGCCTTTATGTTTAAAGATTTTCAATCTGACCGCCAATTTTCTTTAATTATTTACTGAGACCTCACCTGTGTAATGTTGTAAGAGTTTATTCATGCGTATATCCCATACTTTCACTGTGCTGTCTGTACCTGCTGATGCTATACATGTTCCACTAGGGTGAAATTCTACATGGTTCACAAATCTGAAATATATATATGTACATGTTCCACTAGGGTGAAATTCTACATGGTTTACAAATCTGAGTGAAATTCTACATGGTTCACAATGTACATGTTCCACTAGTGTGAATTTCTACATGGATCACAAATGTGAAATATATAACATGTACATGTTACACTACTGTAAAACTCAATATGGTTTAAACGCATATGTAGATACATCACAGGGTGGGTGATATTTTTTACATTACCAATGGGTTAGTGCTAATGGCCACGCCTAGTGTTTATTTCCCTTATACTATTTACAAACTTAAATCACAGCTGCCAAAATATTTTATAGCTAAACAAATTGTTTTTACTTGTTTGACAATATAATGTATATTTTCTATAAGATTAACATAAACACAGAGTCAGTCAAGGAGAATCACATATATTTATATTTGTCTCATGTTTCTGGATTGGTAAGAGACACAAACTGGAAGGTGTACTGAAAAAAAACTTTGGTTCTAAACATTAAACAGATTTTGAACATTCACAATTACATGTTATTTGAAAAACATATAAATTCAGATATAAATAATATGTCAAATAAAAAATATCTGAGATAGTTATTTTTTCACCTACCTACATACCTTACCAAAACTTGCATGGGTCTAAGGAGAGAAAACAAAGATATTTTTAAGGCTGGCCTTAATTGTTTTTTTTATTCATTTAAACTATCTATCCAAATCTTTGTCTAAGATATTTAAATGACTGTAATAGTAGGACCTACCCTCCATGTTCATAAAATGTATGGACACACTCTTTACTATTTCTGTCCCACAATTTCACTGTTTTATCATCACTTCCAGACACTATCAGTCTACCATCAGGAGAAAACTTGGCTGATCTTACCCAGTTCATATGTTGATTAAGTGAAAACAAAAACTTCTGACGATGAACTGTCCATAACTGTAATATGAAAGTTATTTCTATATATCAATAAAATATTCATGACAAACTTCTCTAGCTGTGCAATTAACATATTGCTGTTCACTGTAACACTTATTTTACAATGTCACTAGGGGGCCTTTACTGCCTGCCATATAGATCACTTTATTATCATATCTATCAATACATGACAGGATAAGCTGCTGATGCAGTAGAAAAATACAAGCATATTAAAGTGACATTATGCTCATTTTCTTCCGCTGTCAGGTTTAGCTAAATCATTAATATATTTCAAAAGATTGACTTTTATAATGATGATTGAACAATAATTGGTAACGAAAAATGTGTAGGATAAAATATAATATTATACAAGATAAATTATAAAAAGACAGTCCCAAACTTTTTTAAAAATTGAACACTTCTGATATATTTGGATTATATTTATGGGTCACATGGATTTCAGATTATTTTGCGATAGTAAAATATAAAATTGGACACAATTATTCCATAAAGTAGTTATTTCGACTTTTACCTTTGCACTCATTATTAACATTTTGCTTTGCATGTCACTTTAACCATTACACCAATGAAACTCTGACATACATTTTTCATATAAATCCTACTATGAACAAATAAAATTTGTATTAGCCAAATAATCTTTATTTTATTGTTAAGATCTAAGGTTTTCACACAGTTGTTTGATTATTACAAACCATATACATGCACAGTAATTGATTTCATTTCTTGATAAATGTCCAAAGCTATTCTCTTTTAAACAGAAACAAGATATGATGAGACCTCAGACTATATACAAATTAACATATAACTAGAAATGTGTCCATAGGACACGGATGCCCCCACACACCACTGTTCTGTCAATCTTATGACTCTAGGTCAAATATTTTTTGGACTACATGTGCGACAATTTGAAAACTAAAAATCAACAAAGGGCCATAACTCTGTTAAATTTGGTCGCAGCAAAAATTCCTTCCTTTACTGCCATCTACACATTAAGGTTGTTCATCCCTGGAAGTTTAAGCAAAATCTGCCATCCGGTTTAGAGGAGTTGCGTTCACAAAATTTCTACATAGTATATAGTGAAAAAATCAACAAAGGGCCATAATTCTGTAAAATTTGGTTGCAGCAAAAATTCCTTCCTTTACTACCATCTATACATTAAGGTTGTTCATCCCTGGAAGTTTAAGCAAAATCTGCCATCCGGTTTAAGAGGAGTTGCGTTAACAAAATTTCTACATAGTATATAGTGAAAAAAATCAACAAAGGGCCATAATTCTGTTAAATTTGGTCGCAGCAAAAATTCCTTCCTTTACTATCATCTACACATTAAGGTTGTTCATCCCTGAAAGTTTAAGCAAAATCTGCCAACAAGTTTAAGAGGAGTTGCGTTCACAAAATTTCTACATAGTATATAGTGAAAAAATCAACAAAGGGCCATAATTCTGTTAAATTTGGTAGCAGCAAAAATTCCTTCCTTTACTATCATCTACACATTAAGGTTGTTCATCCCTGGAAGTTTAAGCAAAATCTGCCATCCATTTAATAGGAGTTGCGTTCACAAGATTTCGGGACGTACGAACAGACAGACGGACACTCGGACAGACAAGTGCAACGCTATATGCTCCCACTCTGTGGGGGCATAAAAACAAAAATAGTGTCACCTTAGAGCTGAAAAAAATATGTAAGGAGTTAGTACATTACTGCACTAAGGTGACAATATTTGACTATATGACTTGAACCATAATGTAATATGTTGTCCTACCTTTATAGTTTTATCATCTGAAGCTGTGAGTAGTGTTTGACCATCACTGGAGAAGTCCACACTTCTGACAGTAGCTGTATGAGCTTTAAATACAGTTGATTCTCCCTTACTGTAATAATATAAAGTGTAATCTGGTAAGTATTTAATTTTACATTTTTATAATCAATTCATCGATCTATACTTGTAGCCATTTCAATAATTTTATGGCAGTCAGTTATATAATGTGTATGTTTCTACAAATAACTGCCAACTTATCCACTTTCATTCAAGTTTGAACATTTACAACACTTTTTCATTCCTTACAATGCCACAGAAAAACTTTTCTTAATGCATTTGCCATTTGTAAATCCATTGTCAGTAAGAACAAATGTTTATCCAGTTCTGCAGACCAACTAATTTACTGTCTGGTAAACAGTTACCATCAGGAACCTTGTTGAAGTTGTTCCCAGTGACCAGGATTTCCGTTTGTGGAAGTTTAGTAGGAATTTAATCCTTGATTTTGGCCTGTGACTTTTAAAATGTAATGCTTTTCCTACTTCACTTTAATATATAATGTGACTTCCAGTGTGAGCGATTTTGAAGTCTCTGACTTCCAATTTTGTAACTTAATGGAAGCTGTGAGTGACAGGATACAACATAACTATATTTTTCACAAATTATGAAAATTCAATAAAAAAAAATGTGGTATACATAAATGTATGTACAGCCTAACATTAGTGATGCAATGATCAAACTTACACAGAAGGTATCCAGAGGCGCACAGTTTTATCCCTGGAAGCAGAGGCAACAAGATGACCAGACGGTGAGAAACGTACACTCATTACAGCATCCTGAAACAAAATATTTCAAGAAGCATTCAAAATATGGTGAAATATTCTAAGTCTTCTATTATCTTGTTATATATTATGTATTTCATACATAAATAAAAATCTCTTGTTTGATGTGTCACTTGTGTGTGTTTCCACACTGTAATGATCTTATTGAAACTTTCTCGCGGAGGAACACTTGTGCTGCTCTAAAAATCTTCCTTCAAAATAAATTTGCATTGAGCCATATCAATTTTGAAATAGTACATGCAACTATGTAAATGATAATTTTTAATAAATAAACTCCATCATAAATATATAATAAAGGAGTCACTGATATTTTTATCTTTATTTTAGGTATGTAAACTGGCTTTACACAATTTTCATTCTATAATCTTAGCGTTGAATGATATTGTTAGGATTTAAGTAATTATAGTCATATGATTATATGGTGACTTTCCAGCTTTACAGACAAAAGAGATCAGGTGCCCTCTGTGCATTATTTCAAACACAATCACACATCTGAGCAGAACCAAGGATGTTCCATTAGCTGGCCTGATAGCTTCTCCACATGATGAAATTTGAAACCCCTCGTGGTGAGCAATCTTTTATAGAAACTACTTCTTAGGAATATCTAAAGAATCGGAAAGATTGCTTAACAACCCAACATAATTCATACGCATCTTCAACATTTATAAAAGTCCAAAACTAATGCCATCTGAGGAAAAACTCATTTACCTTGTGACCAACAAATCTGTAAGCTCTCATCTGAGGTTTGAAGTTCCACACCATCAAACATGAATCCATAGACCCAGAAGCTGCAGGAAATATATAATATGAATGTCAATTATGAAAATTGTTGTTTTGTCTTGATTGTTTTGATTTGTTTGAGAATTACAACTTTCTACCTGCATACTGATAAGAAATGTGTTGACATAATAATCATTGTAATAAGAACAAGATGTCAATGATGGCTCTAAGTGGCCCAACCTAGATTTCTGGTGTCATTTCCCCCCCACTAATTTTAGATATCTAGGAGATTGAATGAGTAAAGAACAAGTTGAATTATATAATACAAGCCTCTGATAAGCATAACATTACTTTATTGAACAAGTTCAAATATATAGTACAGAACCTGAACAAATATAATATTCTTTTTATCACATACCGACAAAAAGAACTTTATCAGAAAGAAAATCACTTTTTATCCACCACTTACAGTGTTAATTTATGCTAACATTGAACGCATCTTCAAGCTTTATTTGTGTAACACAAATGACTTCACCCAATGCACTGCCATGCAATACCATTTGAAGAATAGGATAGCCTTAGTTACTATTCTTTTAATTAAATTAAATTTTTTTAGAAAAATAAAAGAGAGAGAGAGAATCAGGAGACAAGTGTAAAGATGCCTACACTTCAGAGTCAGACTCAAAATTCCATCTTCTATGTTAATGACTCACATGTCACAAACATAACTGATTTTTAAATACGTATGTAATACTATTGCACTAAACAAAGATAAATTGAAACTTAACTTGTTTCATTTGACATAGACTTTTAACTTACCAAGCTGCTTCATATTTGGATTGAAATCCACACTAGTCACTGTATCACGGTGACCCTTAAAGTGCCGCTCAAGCGACGGATCCTCCTGAAATTATATAATCAACAAAATGTAACAACCTGTAGTGTACTACCTATATTATCTTGAGTTGACTCAAATTTCATGTGGCTGTCATGACCATAATATAATCAGAAATAAGTCATGTGTACTACACGAGCATTATTTCTTTCTGCAAAGAGAACCTATCCCTCCTTACAAAATATTTTTACTCAAAGCTTAATAGTTACTGAAACTAACTTAAAAACAAATGTCATACATAAACACATCCTAGTACTTAAATTGAGATTGGGCCACTTACTGACTTACTGTAGTTCTCTGTTTGCCATACTTTTCACATTGTTTTTTTTTCATTATAAAAATAAGTTGTAGAGTAAATACATGGGTGCAAGTTGAAAATCTTTGAAAACCTGAAAATCCTGAATTTAGCATTACTTTTAATTGTTTTTAAACAGTAAAAAGAGTGCTTCAGCAGTATAAAAACCTGAACATCAGGCAAATGCCTGAAAACTTGTACCCATGTAAATATAATTGAAATAAAATAAAAGGATTAATCATTTATCTTAAAATTTTCAAAGACGAGTCCTACAGGCTTTTTTTTTTAGTCTGGCTTCAACATCCCTTCACAGATTAAAAACAATGCTGAAAACTTTTTAAAAGCTAGTTTTAAATTTGTATACTGATAGATTTTTAACACGAAGAAATGCTACATAATGAGTATCAACCAAAAATTGTCTAGATTTTACCAGTTTGACAACCACATCCTTCTGCAAGTATCAGAGAACCTATATCTAGGAGTCCCCATATCAGACTATAAGAATCTTACACTGGCTGCCGGTACAGACGGGAATATCTAACTCGAGGGTAACTGTTTACGACGGTAACAAGTTTCCGCTTAATAGTTACCCGAGAGCCAGATATTCCCGACTGTACTGACAGCCAGTGTTTGATTCTTTTTCTTGCATATTAAATGTCAATTAACCTCGGAATAGAAATGACGAAAACTGATATTTTCATTACGCACTTTTTTCTAATAGTAGCGTATGAACTTACAAACTTCATTCATAACGGTGAAATGACATCATGCCGTTATGAGGTCATTAAAAGCACGCGACTTGTCTAACATGGGGAGTGTAAGACAGGGTTTTCTAGCACCGGTGTTAACAGTAGATAATCCTGTCTGATATGCAAGGAAACCTTGAGTGGAGTACCCACATCAGCAAGATTTCCAAGAAGGCAAACTATTAAAACCCTAGGATTTCTAAAAAGGAAACCTGAAACACTGCCCTAAATCTTGTTATAAAACAGCATTCCTGTCTCTTGTACGATCTACCCAGTCCCTGGGGAATACAGTTCGATCCTCTGGGATCCATACCTTTAGAGAGACATTGACAAGCTTGAGAAGGTCTAGAAAAAGTCTGCTAGGTTTTTAATCACTTGACTACACCACCAGGTCCCCCAGTAGCGTCACATAAATGCTTCGAGACCTGAAACTACCTTCACTCATGAACCAAAGGAAAGCCAACACTTTCAGACTCATGATGTTTTATAGCCAGCTTGAAGAGCAAAGCAAGCTTTACTGTTATGCGAAAACATAAATATATATGTTCATTAAATTTGAGGATATAATTTTAACTCAGTATGTTAAACAGTCTATCACTAGCTAAGATATCTTTCATGACTTCTGGAACTTCCTTAACGCTATTTCCCGACACCAAAATTGAAAATGCGGTACTTTTTCTTTCAAATTGCTGACTTCTATATTTGGAATATTTTTTGGGGGATTGGGAAAAAACCCATAATTTGGAAAATGCGGACCAGTGGGATGGGGGAAAAATGCCTGGAGTACTTGCCAGATAGTGATGGTTTTAAAATCTTTGCCGGAAGTACTGCAAAATTATGGGTATGGCAATTTTTCGAATTACAAGATAACGATAAAAGCCAAAGAATTATGGTTGAAAAAAAAATGCGTAGACTTATCTCCAGTGCACTGCTTAGATGGAAACGATACGATCACCTCTAAGGGTTTAATGATACGCTCACCTCGCAATACGATACATTTCATGGTACAGGGTCCATGATACGATATGTATCACAATACAGATTGACTAAAGAAAATAGTCATTTTCACACAGATTATGCAAAATTAATTTAAAGTTGTGATGTAACAACAGTCTTTTATTTCCACATTATTTCCTTACTACCAAGTATTTATCAAATGAGTCATATGCATTAAATGATGCAGTATGGCTTGAAATCAAGTGAATGAACTGGTCAACATGGTTTATATTGACATTTTGATAGTAAAAGTAAAAGGCTTAAATCTTTATTATTTTCTGAAACAATGAGAAATAAAATATCTACAATAAAAAATATCATTCAATATAGATGCACAGGAAATAGAAACATCACATTTTTATTGAAAATGTCCAGTGTTTTTTTTTCACTTTTGGGGGAAGGGGGTCGGTGCCCATTGGAGGGGGAAAAATGCAATAGGAGGGGGATTTTTATACGGATCTAAAATATTGATGTGTCACATGATAAACTTGTTGGGATACCAGGAGTAGCTCCCCTTACCTATATGAAAAACCTTGCTTAACAGTAAGTCTAACAGGCATAAAATAAAGCATTTTTCGGCAGTTAGTGGAAAAAAAATGATATTCATTGCAGGCAAATTTGGGATGCCATATTATAGGGAAAAATTTCAGCTTTGAGGGGGGAAAAAACCATACTATTTTGAGGGGGGAATGGGGAGAATTTCGCCGAATATTTTGGTGAAAAAAAAACCACTGATATCATATGTATAGTGATAACTATTTGGGATAACTTACTCAAGTTTAATAGTAAAATTAAAAATGTTCATCAAATGACACAATTTGCCGAATATGTGTCATAATGAGCATAAATTGAATATAAAAATTATTTTACTTTACTCTCATATTACACATTCATAACAGAAATTATCATATTATTTACGAACAGTTAAATATATCTGTTGACAGTATGGAATATATCCAACAAAATAGCCGTCTGTTGCAGCGTTTTGACAATATTTTGGATTCTGATTTCAACAATATGGGTTTTATTTGCAAAAGTGCCAAGATATCAGATTATCTATTCATGAATTTCAGCTGGCCAAAAAGTGTGTCCACAAAGGCCCTTTCAGCTGATGACCGTTTTTTACAAAAATAAGGATATGTCGGGGAAAAACAAATTCAGCGCATTGAAGTTACAGTCAAAGAAGACATTTTCCCCGATTATATATTCACCTCAAATTCAAAATTTTGGACTTACAACTCACTTACGCAGATTTAATTAATCTTCTGTGATTTTTACTGAAATAATTACTCCTCTTGAAAAATGGTCTAAAATGCTGTGCGGGTGATTTGTCGTGCCGTGTACCGTTCCGAGTGAAAACGGTACAATATACCGTTTCACCCTTAGTTCAAAGTGTATTGAAAACATAAAATGTGCAGCCGCTGATGGCTTTAAATTATAATGACCTTTAGATGTACTATAATTTCTGTCAAAGAGCACACTTTGAGGCTTTGCCTTTTTCATTATTTTGGTTGTCGTGGGGCTGGTACCAGACTAACTAAGACTACTTGACGGGGAAGTTGACGCCTGTCCAAGCAAATAATACGGGGAAGTCAAGGACCGGGCCCGCAAAGCGGGTCCGGGCTTTGGCTTGCCCGGCTATAGACTACACGTGTTGCTTGCCCACACTCTCAACTTGGCTGCTCAGAAAGCCCTTACGGTAACGACGGTGTCACGCATTTTGGGGAGAGTTCGTCGCGTAGTATCATTTTTCCACCGAAGCACCACAGCCACTGCCTTCTTGAAAGTGAAAACACAACAGTTAGGACTTAAAGCTTATGAATGATGTCCCGACTAGATGGAATTCTGCAGCAGACATGTTGCAGAGATTCCTTGAATTGCAACCTGCAGTATATGCATCACTCATTGACAAATCTGTTCGTGCCAATGCCGGGGATATATCTACACTGTCGGGACGCTGATATTTACTACAGCAGAACAGATCATGACCTGCCTCTTGCCTATAAAGCCATAAACAGCTGTACTTTTGTTCTGAGACGATGCCAACTGTATCCATCATACTCCCTCTGCAGACGAAAATTTACTCTCGCACGATTTGATTGTAAAGGAAGGAGACATGGAAGTTATCAAGCAGATGAAGCAGGCTATGCGTAATGACTTGAACAGCAGGTAAGTTTTTATTTTTATAACTTACACCGTTACCCATGTATTTATATACTTTTTATTGCTGAAATATTAAATTATTAATTGTGATGAATATCACAGTATGGACTTTGTAATGTAAATTATCAAGTAACCTAGGTAACATAAACCCATGAATTTTAGTTCTCGCAACATCAAGTGTTTTGTATGCAAGTAAAATAAATAATATTATCTGAAAAAAGATCCTGTAGAAGCATAGATTGCAATCAGCATGTGTATTTGAAAAAAAGATAGTAATTGCTTTTAAATTTCCGTTGTTGGTTTAATTTAAACTGTACCTTAAGATATTGATTTGTATTTCAGATACACAGCATTAACGAGTTTTTACAGGAGTGTACAGTACTGGATCCTCGGTTTAAGGCTTCATGCCTTACACAACAGGAAGCCTTTGACACATACCACAGAATCTGTTCACTGGCAGCCAACACAAGACCAGCGAAGGTTAAGGTAGAACCAGAGGCAGACGTAGTCACGAGAGAGGCATCTCATACACCCCCACTTCCAGTCATGCCAGATAATGACACTTCTGCAGGTAGTTAATTTGGCAGATTTTTTTTAAACCATCTATGACTGTTCAATTTCATCACTTTGTCTACATTTTGTTAGTATCTAAAACACAATTTTTTTTTTAGGTTTTCCCCGGCTGTTAAACATGTTATACAGTTTGAGCATATCTAGTTGTGATGTACATTTGCTAGCTGACAACACTTGACCATATTTCATTTCAGATGTTAAGCCAGCAGTTCCTCCTGTGAGTGAAGTCACAGCTTCAATTACTACCCAGTCAGCTCCCAGTGAAAGTGGTGGTTTAGCGTCTATCCTAGGAGATGTTATTTTTGTGAGAGAGGACAGAACACAAATTAAATCTGATATGGAACGTGCAAATGCTGAAATTGAAAACTTTTTAAAACTGAAACCACTTGTTCCCAATGTCATCCGATCCATTTAGTGTGGTGGAAGAATAACATGAAATAAATCGAGTGATAGTGTTGCACAAGCTAAGACAGGTAGACAGCTTCAATTTGATCAGACATATTACATTTGGGACACTCCTATCTCCCGTTGTTTATATGCTGAAAGGCCCTGCAACGTAACATGCAGATCCAGAAAAAAGGTCCTAATTCAGAAGACTGCGAGAATACAAATTATCGTTTCCAGATAAAAATAAAATAATTTTATGCATCACGGCGAATAATTACGGAGTAAGAAAAATTAATACGACATGTACATGAAATACATAGGCAGACTTAAACTGTGTATATAATAAAATTTCTTTACCAGAGCGCTAAGCCATTTTGTTTTAAAATATTTAGATGTCTATATTTTTGATCAAGTCTGATCAAGTTTCTTGCTTTCAAATGATGGCGGTTTGTTTCCTTCACTGCGCATGTCCAAAGAAAGACTACTAAGGGGAGGAAACTAAGTCAGTTCGGCCTAAGACATTTCGGTCCCAGACATATCGACCTTTAGTAAACCGGCTCAATTTAAAAAAAATTGAGTTTGTTTAGAAATAAGTATAAACATGTTTTTATAATATACCATAACCAAAAAAAGAAATAGAAACATCACATTTTTTATTGAAAATGTCCAGTGTTTTTTTTTCACTTTTGGGGGAAGGGGGTCGGTGCCCATTGGAGGGGAAAAATGCAATAGGAGGGGGATTTTTATACGGATCTAAAATATTGATGTGTCACATGATAAACTTGTTGGGATACCAGGAGTAGCTCCCCTTAACCTATATGAAAAAACCTTGCTTAACAGTAAGTCTAACAGGCATAAAAATAAAGCATTTTTCGGCAGTTAGTGGAAAAAAAATGATATTCATTGCAGGCAAATTTGGGATGCCATATTATAGGGAAACAGCTTTGAGGGGGGGGAAAAACCATACTATTTTGAGGGGGGAATGGGGAGAATTTTCGCCCGAATATTTTGGTGAAAAAAACCCCACTGATATCATATGTATAGTGATAACTATTTGGGATAACTTACTCAAGTTTAATAGTAAAATTAAAAATGTTCATCAAATGACACAATTTGCCGAATATGTGTCATAATGAGCATAAAATTGAATATAAAAATTATTTTACTTTACTCTCATATTACACATTCATAAACAGAAAATTATCATATTATTTACGAACAGTTAAATATATCTGTTGACAGTATGGAATATATCCAAAAAAATAGCCGTCTGTTGCAGCGTTTTGACAAATATTTTGGATTCTGGATTTCAACAAATTGGGTTTATTTGCAAAAGTGCCAAGATATCAGATTATCTATTCATGAATTTCAAGCTGGCCAAAAGTGTGGTCCACAAAGGCCCTTTCAGCTGATGACCGTTTTTTTACAAAAATAAGGATATGTCGGAAAAAACAAATTCAGCGCATTTGAAGTTTACAGTCAAAGAAGGACATTTTCCCCGATTATATATTCACCTCAAAATTCAAAATTTTTGACTTACAACTCACTTACGCAATTTAATTAATCTTCTCGATTTTTACTGAAATAATTACTTCCTCTTGAAAAATGTTCTAAAATGCTGTGCGGGTGATTTGTCGTGCCGTGTAACCGTTCCGAGTGAAAACGGTACAATATACCGTTTTCACCCTTGTTCAAAGTGTATTGAAACATCAAAAATGTGCAGCGCTGATGGCTTTAAATTATAAATGACCTTTAGATGTACTATAATTTCTGTCAAAGAGCACACTTTGAGGCTTTGCCTTTTTCCATTATTTTGGTTGTCGTGGGGCTGGTACCAGACTAACTAAGACTACTTGACGGGGAAGTTGACGCCTGTCCAAGCAAATAATACGGGGAAGTCAAGGACCGGGCCCGCAAAGCGGGTCCGGGCTTTGGCTTGCCCGGGCTATAGACTACACGTGTTGCTTGCCCACACTCTCAACTTGGCTGCTCAGAAAGCCCTTACGGTAACGACCGGTGTCACGCATTTTTGGGAGAGTTCGTCGCGTAGTATCATTTTTCCACCGAAGCACCACAGCCACTGCCTTCTTGAAAGTGAAAACACAACAGTTAGGACTTAAAGCTTATGAAATGATGTCCCGACTAGATGGAATTCTGCAGCAGACATGTTGCAGAGATTCCTTGAATTGCAACCTGCAGTATTATGCATCACTCATTGACAAATCTGTTCGTGCCAATGCCGGGGATATATCTACACTGTCGGACGCTGATATTACTTACAGCAGAACAGATCATGACCTGCCTCTTGCCCTATAAAAGCCATAACAGCTGTACTTTGTTCTGAGACGATGCCAACTGTAATCCATCATACTCCCTCTGCAGACGAAATTACTCTCGCCCACGATTTGATTGTAAAGGAAGGAGACATGGAAGTTATCAAGCAGATGAAGCAGGCTATGCGTAATGACTTGAACAGCAGGTAAGTTTTTTTTTTATTAACTTACACCGTTACCCATGTATATTATATACTTTTTATTGCTGAAATATTAAATTATTAATTGTGTGATGAATATCACAGTATGGACTTTGTAATGTAAATTATCAAGTAACCTAGGTAACATAAAAACCCATGAATTTAGTTCTCGCAACATCAAGTGTTTTGTATGCAAGTAAAATAAAATAATATTATCTGAAAAGATCCTGTAGAAGCATAGATTGCAATCAGCATGTGTATTTGAAAAAAAAAGTAGTAATTGCTTTTAAATTTCCGTTGTTGGTTAATTTAAACTGTACCTTAAGATATTGATTTGTATTTCAGATACAACAGCATTAACGATTTTTTTACAGGAGTGTACAGTACTGGATCCTCGGTTTAAGGCTTCATGCCTTACACAACAGGAAGCCTTTTGACACATACCACAGAATCTGTTCACTGGCAGCCAACACAAGACCAGCGAAGGTTAAGGTAGAACCAGAGCAGACGTGGTCACGAGAGAGGGCATCTCATACACCCCCACTTCCAGTCATGCCAGATAATGACACTTCTGCAGGTAGTTAATTTGGCAGATTTTTTTAACCATCTATGACTGTTCAATTTCATCACTTTGTCTACATTTTGTTAGTATCTAAACACAATTTTTTTTTAGGTTTCCCCGGCTGTTAAACATGTTATACAGTTTGAGCATATCTAGTTGTGATGTACATTTGCTAGCTTGACAACACTTGACCATATTTCATTTCAGATGTTAAGCCAGCAGTTCCTCCTGTGAGTGAAGTCACAGCTTCAATTACTACCCAGTCAGCTCCCAGTGAAAGTGGTGGTTTAGCGTCTATCCTAGGAGATGTTATTTTTGTGAGAGAGGACAGAACACAAATTAAATCTGATATGGAACGTGCAAATGCTGAAATTGAAAACTTTAAAACTGAACCACTTGTTCCAATGTCATCCGATCCATTAGTGTGGACGAAGAATAATGAATGGCAGTTCCCTCTTGTATCAAGCTTGGCACGTCAAAGACTGTGTATCCCTGCTACATCTGTCCCTTCAGAACGTGTCTTTAGTACTGCTGGGATATTGTAACTGCCCAGAGGGCAGCTTTAAGTCCAGAAGTTGTTGACATGTTGATATTTCTTAAGAAAAAACATTTAAAAGCCCCAAGGACACAGGTACTTATTCATTCTATAGATACATGTATGTGTTCTAAAAGAATAATAAGAAGAGTTGAAATATAGCTTACGTTTTTCTGTTTTCTTTAATTATTTTAGTATACACTGTACCACAATACGTATCGCAATACAGGCTGTCTATATCGCAATATATCGCAATACGGTTTGGCTGTATCGTTGCACCCCTATAGTCGGGCACCGCCATTTACAATGTAACTCAATGATAGTAGGCGGGGTATTTCGATAACGGAACAAATCTCAACTTTTCGGATAAATAATCATCTTCGAGTGTTCCGAGTGAAAACGGAAGCGGTGCATGTAATACCAAATGACACCTTTAAAACGGAAAGAAAGAATTTTTTAACGACTTCCCTGTCCATAGGCTTTGCCTAATTTCATATTAGCAGAGTGTAAAAGCTAAGACTTTTGAGAATTGCAAATTATGTAATAGTTATAACAATAATAATTTTAATTTGTTGATTGGAATAACATGAATAAATCGAGTGATAGTGTTGCACAAGCTAAGACAGTAGACAGCTTCAATTTGATCAGACATATTACATTTGGACACTCCTATCTCCCGTTGTTTATATGCTGAAAGGCCCTGCAACGTAACATGCAGATCCAGAAAAAAGGTCTAATTCAGAAGACTGCGAGAATACAAATTATCGTTTCCAGATAAAAATAAATAATTTTATGCATCACGGCGAATAATTACGGAGTAAGAAAAATTATACGACATGTACATGAAATACATAGCAGACTTAAACTGTGTATATAATAAAATTTCTTTACCAGAGCGCTAGCCATTTTGTTTTAAAATAATTTAGATGTCTATATTTTGATCAAGTCTGATCAAGTTTCTTGCTTTCAAATGATGGCGGTTGTTTTCCTTCACTGCGCATGTCCAAAGAAAGACTACTAAGGGGAGGAAACTAAGTCAGTTCGGCCTAAGACATTTCGGTCCCAGACATATCGACCTTTAGTAAACCGGCTCAATTTAAATAAAATTGAGTTGTTTAGAAATAAGTATAAACATGTTTTATAATATACCATAACCAAAAAAAGAAATAGAAACATCACATTTTTATTGAAAATGTCCAGTGTTTTTTTTTCACTTTTGGGGGAAGGGGGTCGGTGCCCATTGGAGGGGGAAAAATGCAATAGGAGGGGGATTTTTATACGGATCTAAAATATTGATGTGTCACATGATAAACTTGTTGGGATACCAGGAGTAGCTCCCCTTACCTATATGAAAAACCTTGCTTAACAGTAAGTCTAACAGGCATAAAATAAAGCATTTTTCGGCAGTTAGTGGAAAAAAAATGATATTCATTGCAGGCAAATTTGGGATGCCATATTATAGGGAAAAATTTCAGCTTTGAGGGGGGAAAAAAACCATACTATTTTGAGGGGGGAATGGGGAGAATTTCGCCGAATATTTTGTGTGAAAAAAAAACCACTGATATCATATGTATAGTGATAACTATTTGGGATAACTTACTCAAGTTTAATAGTAAAATTAAAAATGTTCATCAAATGACACAATTTGCCGAATATGTGTCATAATGAGCATAAATTGAATATAAAAATTATTTTACTTTACTCTCATATTACACATTCATAACAGAAATTATCATATTATTTACGAACAGTTAAATATATCTGTTGACAGTATGGAATATATCCAACAAAATAGCCGTCTGTTGCAGCGTTTTGACAATATTTTGGATTCTGATTTCAACAATATGGGTTTTATTTGCAAAAGTGCCAAGATATCAGATTATCTATTCATGAATTTCAGCTGGCCAAAAAGTGTGTCCACAAAGGCCCTTTCAGCTGATGACCGTTTTTTACAAAAATAAGGATATGTCGGAAAAACAAATTCAGCGCATTGAAGTTACAGTCAAAGAAGACATTTTCCCCGATTATATATTCACCTCAAATTCAAAATTTTGGACTTACAACTCACTTACGCAGATTTAATTAATCTTCTGCGATTTTTACTGAAATAATTACTCCTCTTGAAAATGGTCTAAAATGCTGTGCGGGTGATTTGTCGTGCCGTGTACCGTTCCGAGTGAAAACGGTACAATATACCGTTTCACCCTTAGTTCAAAGTGTATTGAAAACATAAAATGTGCAGCCGCTGATGGCTTTAAATTATAATGACCTTTAGATGTACTATAATTTCTGTCAAAGAGCACACTTTGAGGCTTTGCCTTTTTCATTATTTTGGTTGTCGTGGGGCTGGTACCAGACTAACTAAGACTACTTGACGGGGAAGTTGACGCCTGTCCAAGCAAATAATACGGGGAAGTCAAGGACCGGGCCCGCAAAGCGGGTCCGGGCTTTGGCTTGCCCGGCTATAGACTACACGTGTTGCTTGCCCACACTCTCAACTTGGCTGCTCAGAAAGCCCTTACGGTAACGACGGTGTCACGCATTTTGGGGAGTGTTCGTCGCGTAGTATCATTTTTCCACCGAAGCACCACAGCCACTGCCACTGCCTTCTTGAAAGTGAAAACACAACAGTTAGGACTTAAAGCTTATGAATGATGTCCCGACTAGATGGAATTCTGCAGCAGACATGTTGCAGAGATTCCTTGAATTGCAACCTGCAGTATATGCATCACTCATTGACAAATCTGTTCGTGCCAATGCCGGGGATATATCTACACTGTCGGACGCTGATATTACTACAGCAGAACAGATCATGACCTGCCTCTTGCCTATAAAAGCCATAACAGCTGTACTTTGTTCTGAGACGATGCCAACTGTATCCATCATACTCCCTCTGCAGACGAAATTACTCTCGCACGATTTGATTGTAAAGGAAGGAGACATGGAAGTTATCAAGCAGATGAAGCAGGCTATGCGTAATGACTTGAACAGCAGGTAAGTTTTTATTTTTATTAACTTACACCGTTACCCATGTATATTATATACTTTTTATTGCTGAAATATTAAATTATTAATTGTGATGAATATCACAGTATGGACTTTGTAATGTAAATTATCAAGTAACCTAGGTAACATAAACCCATGAATTTTAGTTCTCGCAACATCAAGTGTTTTGTATGCAAGTAAAATAAATAATATTATCTGAAAAGATCCTGTAGAAGCATAGATTGCAATCATCATGTGCATTTGAAAAAAGTAGTAATTGCTTTTAAATTTCCGTTGTTGGTTAATTTAAACTGTACCTTAAGATATTGATTTGTATTTCAGATACAACAGCATTAACGAGTTTTTACAGGAGTGTACAGTACTTGATCCTCGGTTTAAGGCTTCATGCCTTACACAACAGGAAGCCTTTGACACATACCACAGAATCTGTTCACTGGCAGCCAACACAAGACCAGCGAAGGTTAAGGTAGAACCAGAGGCAGACGTGGTCACGAGAGAGGCATCTCATACACCCCCACTTCCAGTCATGCCAGATAATGACACTTCTGCAGGTAGTTAATTTGGCAGATTTTTTTAACCATCTATGACTGTTCAATTTCATCACTTTGTCTACATTTTGTTAGTATCTAAACACAATTTTTTTTTAGGTTTTCCCCGGCTGTTAAACATGTTATACAGTTTGAGCATATCTAGTTGTGATGTACATTTGCTAGCTGACAACACTTGACCATATTTCATTTCAGATGTTAAGCCAGCAGTTCCTCCTGTGAGTGAAGTCACAGCTTCAATTACTACCCAGTCAGCTCCCAGTGAAAGTGGTGGTTTAGCGTCTATCCTAGGAGATGTTATTTTTGTGAGAGAGGACAGAACACAAATTAAATCTGATATGGAACGTGCAAATGCTGAAATTGAAAACTTTAAAACTGAACCACTTGTTCCAATGTCATCCGATCCATTAGTGTGGACGAAGAATAATGAATGGCAGTTCCCTCTTGTATCAAGCTTGGCACGTCAAAGACTGTGTATCCCTGCTACATCTGTCCCTTCAGAACGTGTCTTTAGTACTGCTGGGGATATTGTAACTGCCCAGAGGGCAGCTTTAAGTCCAGAAGTTGTTGACATGTTGATATTTCTTAAGAAAAACATTTAAAAAGCCCCAAGGACACAGGGTACTTATTCATTCTATAGATACATGTATGTGTTCTAAAAGAATAATAAGAAGAGTTGAAATATAGCTTACGTTTTTCTGTTTTCTTTAATTATTTTAGTATACACTGTACCACAATACGTATCGCAATACAGGCTGTCTATATCGCAATATATCGCAATACGGGTTTGGCTGTATCGTTGCACCCCTATAGTCGGGCACCGCCATTTACAATGTAACTCAATGATAGTAGGCGGGGTATTTCGATAACGGAACAAATCTCAACTTTTCGGATAAATAATCATCTTCGAGTGTTCCGAGTGAAAACGGAAGCGGTGCATGTAATACCAAATGACACCTTTAAAACGGAAAGAAAGAATTTTTTAACGACTTCCCTGTCCATAGGCTTTGCCTAATTTCATATTAGCAGAGTGTAAAAGCTAAGACTTTTGAGAATTGCAAATTATGTAATAGTTATAACAATAATAATTTTAATTTGTTGATTGGAATAACATGAATAAATCGAGTGATAGTGTTGCACAAGCTAAGACAGTAGACAGCTTCAATTTGATCAGACATATTACATTTGGACACTCCTATCTCCCCGTTGTTTATATGCTGAAAGGCCCTGCAACGTAACATGCAGATCCAGAAAAAAGGTCTAATTCAGAAGACTGCGAGAATACAAATTATCGTTTCCAGATAAAAATAAATAATTTTATGCATCACGGCGAATAATTACGGAGTAAGAAAAATTATACGACATGTACATGAAATACATAGCAGACTTAAACTGTGTATATAATAAAATTTCTTTACCAGAGCGCTAGCCATTTTGTTTTAAAATAATTTAGATGTCTATATTTTGATCAAGTCTGATCAAGTTTCTTGCTTTCAAATGATGGCGGTTGTTTTCCTTCACTGCGCATGTCCAAAGAAAGACTACTAAGGGGAGGAAACTAAGTCAGTTCGGCCTAAGACATTTCGGTCCCAGACATATCGACCTTTAGTAAACCGGCTCAATTTAAATAAAATTGAGTTGTTTAGAAATAAGTATAAACATGTTTTATAATATACCATAACCAAAAAAATAAATTAAATAAATGAATTAATTTTCAAAAAGATTCAAGATTTCAAGTCATGTCAAGCAAACAAGACGTTTCTGCCCAAAAACAAAACGGCTCATTTAGACCATTGTACTTATCTATCTTCCATTAATGTCAAACCCCTCGCGGGGACGGAGACATGACTATAGACTAGTCACTTCAGATAATTCTATTCTATTCTTATTGAATAGACCCCTTGTTTTTTACATGCCCAGTACGTGTATATACACGCTATGTAGCACTGATACATGCGAGGATTACCTTGATTTCTTACCAGTACACCTCTAGTTAGGTGGGAAACACTGAAAGTCTTAGTGTCTCTGAAAAATCCCAAGGGTGTTACCCAGGATCGAACCCGGGACCTCAGGAATGACAGCCAGTGGTCTAACTTAATGAGCTATCGCGCCACCTATAACTTAGGGAACATTCACAGTCAACTTGTTTTGAAACGGCTAAACAAAAACTTTATTTGCGATACAAAAAATGTTAGTAATCTTGTTACTGGTTTGACGTCTGGTATGGAAATGGCAACCTTATTTTGCAGTATATGTTTCGAAGCAAGATAAGGCGCTGATCTGTTCGTCTTTTTTTCTAGGCTCAACCATTCAGAAAATCAAGCATGGCTGAGACATAGAGAATAACAGGTTACTGTCTTTTGAGAAAGGGTTTCTCAGACGAGGTTAGATATGGTCCTGGAAGTGGCGAGGCTTGCCGAGCCCCTTCCGGACCATATCTAGCCGAGTCTGAGAAATCCCTTCCTCAAAAGACAGTAACCTGTTATTCTTTTTATCATGCCTCTATTATGACTTTGCATCTTATTTTTTTAATTCGGGGCGCTAAATTTCTGAAAGTACGGTAACCACAAGAGGGTTTTACGCCAAAAAAGTAGTCCGAGGGTTTTTACCAATAATTTTATAACACAACACAATTTTTGGTACAATCTGTTTTAACAATTTATATTCTGTGTATTATCATAAATATTCAGCAAAGTCAATTAAACAATACCAACAATAAACATCATCAATGCTGATCTGGCGTAGGAACATAGTGTTCTCAAGTCACTGACTGAGAAAGGTTGATGTTCTCAGACAGGCTTTATCAGGCAGTTGTCATAGTAATGGCATGATAAAATTGATGCACAACTGGAACTCTTTTTAACCCAGCGGACAGCACGACGCTGCACAGACTCAATCTGGTCAATGAGAGCTTCAATGTATACTGCATATGGAACTGTACTTAAGATTGGTCGGACTTGTCGTGTAGGCCGTTTTTTAAGTGGTTCAGAGTGGACCTTGATGTTTCATCGCAGGGAGCCTTGTGTAAGGTTTGCTTTTTTACAATGTTGACAGTGTGAGTGTACGTACAAGATAGTGTAAAATTTGATAAACAAGGCGGCGTTCAATAAACGCAACCCCACCGACCCAGCAAGGCAAGGAGCCCAAGCGGACCCCAAACAAAAACAGGACAGGGCACAAGGCAGGGCACGGACAGGCTAATCACTAAAATGATAAATAATTTGTAACTGATAAGGAATTCAAAGAAAACAAACAAATGATTGAATAATAGGAAATAATTTGTAAATGATAAGGAATTCAAAGAAAACAAATAAATGATTGAATAATAAGCCCAGGAAGTCAAATGGCACAAGGGAAGGGGGGGGGGGCATGAGACCCGGGGAAGGGGGGATTAAAGAAATGAGACTAGGAACAAAGAGGAACACCAAGGTATTTTGCTGATAGTACTGATTCTAGGATTGTTTTGCGCAAAGTATATTTTGTTGGTACTTAAGTTTTCCTTTTTGTTGTCTGAATGACTTGACATTTTGAGGGATTGAATTCCATGTCCCATTTTGATTCCTATATGTTTCAAGCTGGTGTGTGGAAGAAGTGAGAAGCTACAGAAAAAGAAATATATACAGAGTTCTGTGTCGTCTGCAAAGAATTGAACTTTATAGTGATTTACGAAGTCAGGGAGATCATTTATATAGATAAGAAACCGGAGATCGACCTCCTAACATCGAACTCTGGGGACACCTAAGGAGACTGGGAAAGTATTTAATACAAACCAATTTACAACAGTAACTACTGATTGTGACCTATTGTCTAAGAAAAACTTAATCCATTTGAGAGTTACTCTCCTTATACCATAGAAATGCAGCTTATAGAGGGGTTTTTCTTGGTTTATCATAACAAATAGAAATAGAGAAAAACAGAATCCCAAAAGAAAGCCCAACACGACAAAATAGTAAAATGTTGCAGACTCGGTTTGATTGAGCCCGTTCATGCTCAGTACTAGAAAGTGCAAGTTAATTACCGTCCACGCCCCCTAGCACCGGCTTAAGCAGAATACAACATTTAAACACGAAAATGATGAATTTTGAATTTAGAAACATCTGCAGATGTGTGCTTTTGAGAAGTCAAAAACTGCGAGGACATCTTGACTTTTGACTGACAGATTAGAATATGTCATCTGCTAACATTAAAATTTCAGATTGACAGGACCTCTTTTGCTGTAAACCATGCTGCAGTTCAAAGAAAATACTGTTCGGCGTTAAATAATTGGTCATATTGGAAGAGAAACTAGATTTACACAGAGATATTGGATGGTGGTTAGCTGGGTCTGACCTTGATCTTTCTTATATACTGTGCTACATGTAGTTTCCAATTTTTGCAATGTGCTTAATTGCAGATACTTTTGGAATCGGGGACATTTCTTTGCTGACCGTCTCTATAACGATCGTCGTATTCGATCTGGCCGTGTTAAGATTACTGAATCTCCGTCCTGCCTTTTATCTTGATGAGAGTTATAACTTTGATATTTGTGTATCTTTATAACTGTATCTGTCATATCCTTGATTTTACTACTGTAAAACTGATTGAAACTGGTTGTGAAGTATTTTGTATTTTGCTTTATATTTTGTATGTAGTTTGTTTTGATGGTCCATGGTATGTTTGCCTCGGTCCATCTCACGATAGAATCTGATAAGTTGAAATGTATTGCTTATGACTACATGTATATTTATTCTAATTTGATTTAAATATTTTTTTTTTCGTAGAAAGTTGCCGTAAGTACTCGATCGTGAAAGTTAAGGCTGACTTTAAAAGCGTCATTTTTGAAAATACAAGTTGCACTAGACCAAGTTCTTGTCCCCATTGTATCACTCTTTGAAACCAGCTTCCAAGTTATATTGTTATCCTGTCTGATCATGATCCATTCAATTAGGCGGTGGTATATTATGTGACAAGTTGTGCTTTTACTTTCAAGTATTTATTCTTCACTGTATTGTAGCTAATTAATTCATTAGGGGTTAAGGAGGCTATTAAATTTTCGTCTCAGCCACATAAAACCAAGTAAGCCCCAAATTTTTACGGAATGGATAGCATCAAAGAGAATTTACTGTTTGTTCCCAAAGCCAAATAAAACTAAATATAAGCACAATCGGACGAACGGACGGAGAGAGAAAGAGTTTGTTTAGGACATTTGCTACAGCGTTAGTCAGAATAATAACTGCTTCATTAAATGTATTTAAACTTTTCATCGTCCCAGAATATGATAAAAGAAAAAAATAATGTCGCCGATCTCACCGTGTATATCAAAATTAATGCCGAATCTGTGCAGTGGTAACACGGTAAGTAAACAGGCCAAACTATCTTATAGTAAACCAAATTTAAAGAATACGGCTGCCATCATATTATACTTAAATCATTATTTTGACGGCCATTCCTAATATATTTTATACTTCTGACTGTAAAAAAAATTGGAAGGAACATGGTTACGTAAACTTTTTTTGTACCTTTTAGAATGTTACCTTTCCTCTTGTCTGAAAAACGGGTTGTTAAGCCGATGACTATTTATTAAGGACTGTGTTGGTATTCTTAGGCCTCACTGGGGGAAACATTGTTCTGTTGTCCTTTTGCACAATAGAAACAAAGTTTAGAATATGTGTACTCTCTATACAATCATATTTATAAAATATGAGATGAAACATATCAAAGAAGTTTTTACTTTGATACTACATCTCTTACTGATATCTTATTGAAAAAGCAAAATTATTTCTGGAAGATAAAACGACAGAGAACAAGGAAAGCAATTACTTGTTTTATTGCTCTATTAAAAGCAGAAACATAAGTAAAATGGAATTTTCATGTCCGTAATTTATTTTGTGCAGACGACACATGCCAATTCTCTACCATCTACATAAGGGGGGCACGCAAGAGATCCACAACGCACTTCTGCTGGCTTCACAACGTGTTCTTCGTCATCACCTGAAGCCATATTAAAAGTAAAAAGCTTTAACAGATAATACACGTACTTTCAATCATTCTTTTTATACAACACCAAATACGTTTCTTATCACATTCTCGTTAAAATGAAATATGTTGCTTAATAAAAAGATTATGCCGAGTCTATTTCTTTTGTTTTGTTTCTTTTAATTATTATGTATGTATTTATTTTTTAAATATATTTTTAGTCAACTTGTAATTCATTGCTACATGTATACAGTTTTGGAGGTGTTGATAATGAAGCAATATTTTTCTATAATAAAAATCAACCTGCTCCGTGTACAACAAATTCGAGCCCCGAATCGAGACACACGTAATCACTGTTCGCAGCCCAAGTTGGTTTACTAGCAACAATATAACCACTGTATTCCTTCGTCCATCCAGAGTAACAGTCGGTTCTTCCAGGTATCATGACATGAGATGCACGGTTTGCTCGACACACTGCACATGGAATGTCCTGGTTGTATGAAGGTTTACCAAACAACTGTGTTGAAACACTATCATCAACTTCAATTTCTGTTCCTCGAACTTCAGCTCCACCGTTATAACCATCCACGTATTTGCCCCACGATGGTATTTCGGGGACACACAGGTGATTTGACCCGCCTCCTGATTGGTCCCACTTGTCTCCTACCATGTAACCACTGTATAACTTTTCTGTTCCATTGTTAGATGAGCACGACGTTCTTCCCCACCGGATGTAGGTGTGTCCAATTAAGGCTTTCAATGCTGCCATTTCGCTTTTCAAATTGTTAAGTTCCGTAAAGATGTCATTCTCTTCTTCAAGAAATCGCTGTTGCTTTTTTAAAGCAGACGATAAGGCACACACTGTGAAAACGTAAATCAAGTTTGAAATTGTACGCATGTTGCAGTGCTAGTGCCCACAATTTCTTTTGAAAATGTTTTGAACAGTATGTCTTTAAATTTATAAGTCTTTATCTACGTGTAACATGTTAACTACTTATCTTATCTTCTTTATCAACAGGCTCAGTGCAAAACTGTTTAATATCGATTTGATTTAAAATAATTTACAACAGTTTAACACTCAAACGACAATATGCTTGCTGTTTCATGTAATCAAAGTCATAGGGGGCATGAGACCCTTTTGTTCTTAGACAAAACTTGTCACAACTATCTTGTGGTCGTGCATAATTGTTGAAAAATATTACCTTGGACAAAAATCAGGTTTCCGGAAACAAGAATAGGTTAATCCCTTCAAAAATTTCAAAGGTTTTGTACATGTACACAGAAAAGTTTTATTTCTATTTATTTATTTATTTCAGTCTCATCTTTACACGTATGCATAAAAATATATATAAAACATAAAACACAAACATCACGGGGGAGAAACTGTTACACAAGGAGTTCTTATGATAACTAGTCAGGAGTTCTTGTGATAACTGTCACGGATTTCGGCGGAAAACATTTGTATACTACAAAACCACTCGTCCAAAATGGTCATTTTCTTCTTTAAGACCAGAAATAAACAGGTCAATACCTGCCAAATAATGCGGAAATTTTACTTAAAACTACCAGATTTTAAGCAAGAGGCGATGAACAATATGGCCTTTGAATTAGTTTTGACACATTATACAAGATGTAAGGCAAGCTTAATCATTAAAGTTTAATTTAGCACCTAAAACTCAATTTTTTAAAGACGAACATGCTCAGAGTGTTTTTGTAGTATATAGACGAACACCGTGACAGTTCCTGACAAGTTACCATAAGAACTCCACCATCTCTCGTGTAACAGTTCCGCCCTCGTGAACGTAAGATACATGAAAAGCCATTCTAGAGACTATTTTCGTTCTTTTGCTTCTAAGGGAGACAACTCCAAAGACCACATCACTTCAGTTTACTGTTTTATGTACTGAGGAATTGTCCCCCTCCCCAGCTACACAAGTCATTATCATTCATGACATAACATCAATATAGTCACACTATTGCATGTTTTTCTTACAAACGTTTACATTGTGGTATAAAATGGGACACAATGAATAAAACAATACTTAAATGCAAATGGTTAGAAGAAAAAATAACCATTATATATCATTTAACCTTGGAAAGTATGTTATTTATTAAACCATATCTTGTCAAATAAAATTTCCCAAGACTGTTTTCACTATAAATTTTATACTGTCCAATTAAATTTATTTAAGACTATATAAACTATAAAATCATATTCACGATTTGAATGTTTGATATGTGTTAAAAACACAGTCTTAGTGTCGATAAAACATTTATTTTAAAATCTACATTCCAGTAAAGACATTTATCTGTTATCTTTTATAAACAATGTACATATTTTAAAGATAAAAACTATCTAAAAAGACAAACCACAAAAAGGAGCAATTTATGTATTCTTATTTGTAAAGGAAAGTTACCCTTGTCTTCAGTATGGCAAAGCAGGTTTTGGCAATATACCGCACTCAACTCGTATTTGAGAATATAAAAATAAATTTCCCTATAGTTGTGTTTCAATGTGTGAAATTGTAGGTTTTTGACACTCATTTTTCAAATAAATCTACACGAATGTCTTCGAACATTAAACATTCCATTACTGCGTGAAATTCACTTTCTACCTTGTCATTATAAAAAGGACAGAGCCTTTCATTTACTGGTAGGCGTTCATATCTGCCTGTCTCTATTCTTAATGGTGCAGTTCCACATCTGAACTTAGCAAAAGGCGACCTGTGGCTGCGCCGTAGTATGATTTCTCTATTTTATCGCCACATCAGCGTTGTTTGTGCTGTGTGGAGGCTGTAAAAAGTCGCCCTGTACATTCAATCAGAGATGTTATATTTCCGATCCTTAAAGATCGTTCAGCACGACGTAATTGTTGTGCTTGTGGTTATTTAGTTATTTCTATTTGCCGTTTTTCTTGTTGGGTGGTTCCAGTATTCCTCATTTGAATACTGTTGAATCACCCTTAGGATATGTGGCCTGCTTTTTTAATTTGTCTTTTGACGTATTATCTGTGATATGCTGGCTTCGTAACCTCTGATCCCCTTTCAAAATTCCATTTTATTTAGTTCCGCCCATTGTTTTCTCGTTTAGGGCACACGCATTTTTTTACTTGGGGACCATTAGCCGCTTTTCATGGAATGGCACTTAGTGTCACATTGAAGGTTCCATGATAACCGCCATATGAACACATCTGCGGATGTTTCTAAATTCAAAATTGTACCAATTCATTTTAAATGTTGAATTCTGCTTAAGCCGGTGCTAGGGGGCGTGGACGGTAGTTTGCACTTTACAGTACCGTCCATGAACAGGCTCAATCAAACCGAGCCTGCAACATTTTCAGTTATGTTGTGTTGGACTTTCTTTAGGGATTCTTGCTTTCTCTATTCTATTTGCAATATTCCTCAGTTCCAAAAGTTGTCTTAAAATGCCTATATGAGCGCAGTTTGTTCCCACCGACCCGCTTCTACTTCTTTCAGATGTAACATTAACATTCCACTTTGCAATAAAACTTTGAATTGTTCTAGATTAAACTTTTTCTAACATAGCTGAGTATTTCTCTGTTACATTAAAAGGAATTAGATGGACGAGATATGTATACAGGGGAAAAGTGAGAGAAAAAACAACGTCCCCAGTGTAGAGATTGAACAGTTGGTTTTATGTATTAAACACGAATTTGCTAATGGACGGATACACAACTACGGACAGAACATTAAACTTTCGAAATGCTTTACTTCACAATAGTTTTGTGAAAGTTTTGTGGAAATCCCATGAGAAATGTTGGATCGAGTTGTTTCTCTTTGGCCAGCAAGTCAGTATAAGGTGGTGTCAGTGTTGTTTCATTTGCCAGGTACTTTTTAAACAAAATATAATCACACCGAATTAAACAAATTTAAAATTATATCACTGTTCTCATTACTCTCGTAGGTCTCGCTTATTTCAGAATTACTACCGACCATAAGTAACATTAAACCGGATCCATCACCATGACCCATCATGTTTGGCAGATCTCAATTTCCGCAATGTCTTCTAAACAGTGTCAACTGTTGAGTGATAAAGACAACAATATCTAGTTTTTTGCAAGCATACAATCGTCTTCTTGTGACATTGTTTCTTTCTTGCATGTATGTATCGGATCAATTTTCATAAGATTACAGGTAAATAAAAAAAATATGAGTATATAAACTAAAATATCGAATTCATTTTATCTTCGGATTATAAAACATTCACAGCAATAAATTCCACTAATCAATGCGTTAACATACAGAGCTGTCACCAGAACCACAGTAGATACAAAACTTGACCATCAGTTAGTATTTTCATTTTAATTGGATACAGCCATCTGTTGATAAAAGCAAATTTAAACATCCTAGGAGGCGGTGCCTATCAAGGATGCATCTTGGACATCTGTGTTCATTAATCTAAACACTATAAATATTAGAATATTTGTTTTCTCTATAAACTTATATCTATGTATAAAATTAAACAAAGATGTCTTTTGGATTTTTTCTATTTGGCTATTATCTAGTTGGGTGGTTCCAGTATTCCTCACTTGAATACTATTTTATTACCCTAAGGATATGTGACCTGTTTTTTTTAAATTTGTCCTTTGACAGCTTATCTGTGATATGCAGGCTTCAATACATCTGACCCCCTTTGAAAAGCCCATTTTATTTAGTCCGCCCATTGTTATCTCGTTTATGTTTACTTGGGGACATTACGGCGCTTTTTATAGAATTGATGTTTTTGTTTTTCATATTTAATGACACTGACGTGTCACATTAAGGATTCCATGATAGTCGCTGTATGAACACATCTGCGGATGTTACAAGGTTCCAAATTTTACCATTACATGTTACATGTTGAATACTGCTTAAGTCGGTGCTAGGGGCTGTGGACGGTAACTTGCACTTTCCATTGGCGTCCATGAACAGGCTCAACCAAACCGAGCCGCAACATTTTCAATTTTGTCGTTTTGTGCTTTCTTTAGGGATTCTTTATTTCTCTCTATCTTGACTTTGATATTACAACTCTTATACCGATATCTGATTAAAATGAAAAGAAAAAAATCCAAGGAGATAAAACTACAGAGTAAACAAGTAAAGAAAATAATAATTATTTTATTGCTCTATTAAAAAGAGAAACATAAGTGAAATGGAATTTTCATGTCCGTAATTCATTTTGTGCAGACGACACATGCCAATTCTTTACCATCTACATAAGGGGGACACGCAAGAGATCCACAGCGCACTTCTGCTGGCTTTACAATGTGTTCTTCGTCATCACCTGACGCCGTATGAAAAGTAAAAATGCTTTTACAGATAATACTAGTACTTTTAATAATTCCCTTTACGTTTTTCGTTCCAATAAAATATGTCGCTTAATCCTAGTCAATTTCTTATTTTCTGTTTCTTTCTCTTTTTTATTGATGTATTCTTTTTTTTCCAGACAACTCGTTTGAATTCATTGCTACATACAGTAAGGAAGGTGTTGATAATGAAGCAATATTATTCAATGAAAATAACATACCTGCTCCGTGTACAACAAATTCGAGCCCCGAATCGAGACACACGTAATCACTGTTCGCAGCCCAAGTTTGTTTACTTGCAACAATATAACCGCCATATTCCTTCGTCCATCCAGAGTAACAGTCGGTTCTACCAGGTATCATGACATGAGATGCACGGTTTGCTCGACACACTGCACATGGAATGTCCTGGTTGAATACAGGTTTACCAAACAACTGTGTTGAAACACTACCATCAACTTCAATCTCCGTTCCTCGAACTTCAGCTCCGTTGTTATAACCATCGACGTATTTGCCCCAAGATGGTATTTCGGGGACACATAGGTGATTTGACCCGCCTCCTGATTGGTTCCACCTGTCTCCTAGGTATGTAACCACGGTATATCATTTCTGTTCCATTCATAGACGAACACGTAGGTCTTCCCCACCGGATGTACGTATGTCCAACTAAGGCTTTCAATGCGGCCATTTCGCTTTTCAGATTGTTAAGTTCCGTTATGATGTCATTCTGTTCTTCAATAAATCGCTGTTGCGAGTTTAAAGCAGACGACAAGGCACACAATGTAAAAATGTAAATCAAGTTTGAAATTGTACGCATGTTGCAGTGCTAGTGCTCACAATTTCTTTTGAAATGTCGTTTCAATATGTCTTTAAGTTTATAAGTCTTTATTTATGTGTAACATGTTATCTACTTATCTTATCTTCTTTATTAATATTTGACAGACTCAGTGCAAAATATGAAAAACAAGATCAACAAGAAAAGGCGGCGTTCAATGAACGCAACCCTAACCCTAACCCCCAAAACTCTTTTAATATCCTTTTGATTTTAAATAAGTTGCAATAGTTTAACACTCAGACCTAGATATGCTTGCTGTTTCATGTAATCAAAGTCAAAGGGGGCATGGTATCCATTTGTCCTTAAACAAAATGTTACAACTAACTTGTGGTCGTACATAATTGTTGAAAAATATTACCTCGGATAAAAATCAGGTTTCTGGAAATAAAAGTTGGTTAATTCATTCAAAACTTTCAGAGTTTTTGTGCACAAAAGTCTTATAACTAACATATATGTTAACACAACGTATAAGAGCCATAATTTGTCCCAAAATTGGTTTGATTTAATAATATTTCCCGTAACAATATGAGTCAGGACACTTAAACAATAGCTCTGGAAATCCCGTATAAAATGTAGGAAGAGTTCCACACATATGAGTATTTCTCTGTTATATTAAAACTAGATGGAACAAGAGAAAAGGTGAGAGAGAGAAAAACACCGTCCCCAGTTAAGAGTTTGAACAGCTAAGCTTATGTGAAATTTTAACATGAATTTGCTGACGGACGGATACACAACCACAACAATAGTTTTGTGACAAGTTTGTTAAAATCCCATGAGAAATGTAGGATCGAGTTGCTTTTACATTACATTGTTTCTCTTTGGCCAGCAAGTCAGTATAAAGTGGTGTCAGTGTTGTTTCATTTGCCAGGTACTTTCAAGACAATATATTATCAGACTGAATTAAACAAATTTGAAATTATGTCACTGTCTCTGTTTTCATTACTCTCGTACGTCTAGCTTATTTCAGAATTGCTATCGATTATCTCAAAGACCAAAAGTAACATTAAACCGTATCCATCACCATGACCCATAAACTTTGGCAGATCTCAATTTCCGCAATGTCTTCTAAACAGTTTCAACTGTTGAGTGATAAAGACAACAGTATCTAGTTTTTCGCAAGCGATACAATCGTCTTCTTGTGACATTGTTTCTGTCTTGCATGTATGCACCGGATCAATTTTCATAAGATTACAGGTAAATAAATAAATAAAAAAAAAAAAAAAAAAAACATTTATGAGTATATATACTAAAATATCGAATTCATTTTACCTTCGGATTGTAAAATATTCACAGCAATAAATTCCAATAATCAATGCGTTAGCATACAGAGCTGTCATCACAATAGAATAGAACCACAGTAGATGCAAAACTTGACCATCCGTAAGTGTTTTTATTTTAATTGGACACGGGCATCTGTTGATAAAAGCAAATTTAAACATCCTAGGAGGCGGTGCCTATCAAGGATGCATCTCGGACATCTGTGTTCATCAATCTAAACACTGTTAGTAAATTATTTTACGGAATAATCATGATTGTAAATGAATAACTAGACGAGTCTTCATTTACTTCTAGCATAAAAGTTTATCTATACAAAAAGAGAACAATTATTAACTGCAGTCTGCATTCAAAATACCCAGTTAACTATTAACCTCAGTGCCGAGTAGGTAATACGCATGTGTCTTTAAACTAAAGGAGGAGTTCATTTTTGCATTGATTAATACAGGTATCTTATTTTTAAAAAGTTAGCGCGTTGTGCATGTGTAATAACACAATTGTCCATTTAAATTTTTATTATTCATAATAAGACAAAACGCATTTTCTTTCTTCTATCGTCATATACTTTAGTAGTGCCTTATGAATCTTATTGATTTGTAATGCACATTGATTATTGTATTTTATATGTATTTTAACTGTACATTCATGAGATTCAAATAAACTTATAAACTATGTTTTTTAACCGATATTATTATTTTAATATGTCATATGTAGTGTTTTTATTTTCAGGCACATGCGATTGTTTTTTTGTTTTTTTCGTTCTTGTTTTTATCATTTTGTACCTTACCACGCGACTAATCCTATAGGTAATCATAATTATATGGTCGTCTGCAAACAAAAGTTGTAAAATGATAAGACAAAGGACTCCTTTGTTATTTGATACACCGTAATCAATGGACCGGTGATTCTTAAAACAATACACAATATAAAATGTTAATATACTGCTCTTTCATTACAGACGTGTTAGGAACACAGTAATATAAACTTTACATTGATATAACGTATTTCAAGTTTTAATGAAAACCTAGATACATTGTAGATTTTGATACACATTATTTTTATCACAGATGGAGACTTTAAGGAGTGCTATAAATAGCAGTATGTCTGAGAAGACTGTTTCTCAAACGATTTATAAGATGACGTCATTAAAGCCAACGCGAATTGAAAAGAAAATGTCATCCGAATGGTCCGAAACGAGCATGTGCAGTTGCGAAGAGCGTCATGTCACTTTATATTGCCGGGGAGACGACATTTTACTATGCAAACAATGCAAGCACAAAAATCACGTGAAATGTCACGTGGAAAGAATTGAACACGTGGCTAAAGGCATTCTTGAGTCCAAGGAGTTAGAAACAACATTAAAGGAACTGAATACGCTTAAATCTGTGTTTGAGAGATTGAAGGAAAACAGACGATTAAAGAAGCTGCAGCATCGACAAGAGAAGAGAAGTGTATTACAGTTATCTAAAAGGTGGACAATGTTACAGTCTACAAGACTTGCGCTTAGTACTGAGGTTGGCAAAGGCATGGATAGATATAAGAATAATCTAGATCAAATCGAAAAAATTATGACTGATCAATCTTCTTGGGTAGCAGAGGAAATTGACCATTACTTGAAAGATTTTAGTTATCACATTACTAATAGGAATGAATTAGGGACGTTCGAGGTTCTTCACCAAGTAAAAAAGGATCTTAAATCGTTTTATAACGTTCTTAGTGAAATATCAGAGGATGAGAGATCGGAGGATATATATGGTGAGTTAAAAACTGTGATATCAGGAATTTATTTCTGTGAAAATCAGGGAAGTGTATCACTATCTCGAAATTTAAAACATAACAGAGTTTCATTGCCGATTTTGACAGAAAAGACACAAAATATAAAAACACCTGAAGAATCGCATTCACCAGCAACGCAGACACCTTGCAGACGTTCAAAATTATCGTCTGCAAGTCGACGATTCAGACCTGCGTTCCGCCCTCAGGCGATTCGTATGGCTACATTTGTTTCATCTTTACAGAGTGGCCGTTCTAGTCGAGCTCTTACCAGAACGTCAACTCACTTTAAAAAGAGATTAATAACTGACGAACGACCAAAACGGTTTGATATAAGCATGTCTGAAAACGTCAATAATAAAGTTGAAGTGTCAGCGATGTGCCCTTTACCTGGTGGCAAACTTGCAGTCATCGATTCTGAAAGTAATAAAATAAAACTGTTTTCAAAAGCCGACGTTGCAATAACAGAGGTTGATGCAGGATGCTCAATCTGGGACCTGACGACAATTTCAAAAAGTCAGATTCTAGTGACATGCCCAAGCAAAGGGAAACTGCAACATGTAGATATAGTCGACAAAACATTAGGGCCAGAACTTGTAAAAACTGGTTACATATTGACACAAAAAGACTGCCGGGCGATATGTTACGTAAGTAGTAAGATTTACGTGTCTTACAGTGGAATAAGACCCTGCATCAAAGTGATGACTAAAGATGGAATAATGTGCAGATCTATAGAGTCATTCAAAGGTCAAATTACTTTGTTCAAGAATCCATTATACATGGTTGTGACAAAGCTCGGAAAATTGATTTATGTATCTGATTTTTCATTGCAGAGAATAGTTAAAATTGATCAAAAAGGAAAGTTACACGGAACGGTTGATATGAGTCCTGGGTGGCCCCTTGGTTTGGTGATGACTAGGGATGACAAGTTAATTATAGCTTCGTCCGGCTCGAATGACGTTAAGATCATACATCGGGGTAGCCGTAAATGGGACACTTTAGTAATCTCTGATTGGCTAAAAGGAGCTCCTTGTTCTGTAACTGTGAGAGAAACAAAAAGGAAGAAACACCTTTATGTCGCATGTGCAGGAAGTAGCGTAATGAATGTTTTTTCAATGGCTTGACAAACGCCGTCGAGGATCATCAACTACAAAGAAAGCAGAAAAATTGCAGACTCGGTTTGATTGACTTCATATTGCCACAAATATATTTTGAGTTTTGACATGTCAGATACAACGTCATGAAAAAAGTTCAGTTCATGTTTCCACAAATATATTTTGAGTTTTGACATGTCAGACACAATGTCATGAAAAAAGTTCAGTTCTTTTCCTAAGAGTTAAGGAACGATTCTGAACATTAAAAATGACACATGTGTACTGTAACATATTCAATATTAAGCATTTTTTCACAAAACCATTTACATTGCCAGGGACAGTTTTTAATATTTACCAGTCATTATAACCGGAAAAGAAACATGCCTTTGTTTATACATACTCGTATATATATTGTATATAAATGAAGCCATCAACTTGCTTGGCTAAGATAACAAAAAAGAAACTCCAAAACTTTTTTACTTTATTGTAATATTCTTGGGCACAACCTTTGTTCAGATTGTCGATGAAATCGTGGTTCTTTTGTACTCTTTCTTAGATAGAGATAAAAAAATGGATGCTCTTACACCAAATAAAATACTTGTAATAAAATTGCCCGAACACTGTGTTATTCTTGTATATATAATATAATAACAGAATATGATTCATTCGAAATGCACTCAGATCGGGATGCCATTATTTAATCACTTTCATTATGAAATCACTGTTTCTTACGTTTATCAAAATGTAACCTTTGTCAGTACTACATTGATAGTGTATCTATATTTATAAATTAGATTTAACGAGGCCACTAAGAGATAAGGGAGTGCTCCAATTAAACTTGGCAAAATATTTGCCATTTTTTATTAAGAATGGAAATTTTAAAATGCCTGGGTAAGTAAAACAATAACTCGCAGTAAACTTAATATAATTATGTTCAAAGAAATATGCTATTCCTAGGACTTTTCGTTGTGTTGTAATAGGCATATCGTATGCGATATGGTATATTCTGTCAGTTTTAGCCTTCATTGAACGATGATTTTTAATGCTGTATGGTTTGATGTCTGTAACATCCACGTGGAATTACAACTAAGTAATTTATTAATTAAGAATGATAACTTATTACATCCATCGTCATTCCGGTGTTGTTTACTCATTGTGTTCTAATTTTCTGGGGTTTCTTTATTTTTGTTGTTCTTCTTTTATGTGTTGCGTTATAAAAACAGAAACAACTGCGTTTAATACTTTAATATAAATCAATATAATATTATTACAAGACTGAAACGTATGAATACATTTTAAATCATTTCATAAAAAGCCATGTCATGAAATTGTTATCCTATTCTTTTTTTATTTATTTTTATTAAATGGTGATTTTAACACATGTTTTGTTCATATCTGCGGTCCGCACATCTAATAGACTTCCTTTCCCGGATACTACCTAGTAATTACAACTTTGGAGGTGAGAGACAAAATTAATGATCATTTGTCATTGAGAATTACACCAGCGACACCTTTATTACTACTCCGACTTTCCGATGTTAAACCAAGCGGACGGACTCTTCTTATATTGTAATAGGGCCTGTTGTCTTTTAAACTTAAATTGATTTTTTAACTTTCTGTCTAAAAATATATGTACATCAGGCGTGTTTATTGAGAGAAAAAAAGAAAGCCATATTCAAAAGCAATTCTGTTTATTTCTTCTTCTTTTTAAATAACGTTCATTCTTTAGATTTTTATTTTATGCCACACCATATTTTTTTTAGTAATTGTTGGCGAACAATTCTTTATTTCGAAATCGAATTTTCTTTTTATTCCTTACATGTTCTTTTTCATTAACAAAATCGATAATTATGTTCCTTGCAGAAATTTTGAAAATTAAATATGACCATCACATATGCATATATAATTGTTATTTCAAGAGAACCATGTCACGATTTGTACTAGATTTAGAAAATGTTCGTGCTATCGAAGGGCAAACCTAGCTTGGATGTAATCTACTTTATATCAGTAAAAGATTAAAACATAACTTTATGTAAATGTTAATGGTTTTGATGACATGTCCCATTTTATAGTTACATTGTACAATAGATGTTATTCGGTGTAACGAAGTAAATTGACTCCCGGTCAATACTATATAAAATCCCCCCTTTCTTATACTGACTCTCTCTGAAAACAAAAAATGACCCCCGCCTCGGAAACCTGTATTGATCCCCATCTAATTGATCAAGTACTGTAAGCTGCTGTTGTTTTTCGTACATTTCTTGACCATACCATTAACCTAAGTACTACTTTTAGCGTTAAGTCTATATGCAGACTTTGACAGAGGCTGACTTACCTTTACAATATGTTCTGAGTGTTTTCCTTGTTTGATTGAAACTGTTAACGAGATATAATGAAACGGTGAAACATCTCTCACGCCCCCTAGCACAGGTATAAGCGGTATTCAATTCCCAACAAGAAAAAGTAATGGAATGAGTCCCGGAGGCAAATATGACAACACTAAGATGGAGTACGGGGCAATATTTTACCGATGTTAAATTTTATTTTTGACATTTTCCAACAATATCATTTGTCTAAAGGTACGTATCCTCTGGTGACCACGATACGTACATGTACTTTGTTTTCAAATCAAATGTAGATTACTCTATATATATATATCGTTGTTTGATAAACGTTTTTGTGTACAGAATAGCCAACCACAACATGTCTGTATATACAATGTACTATAATTTAAACAGTATCAAATGAGAAAAATGTTTGTTTTAAAGATCATTCCACTTACAGCTGCTGCATTCGACAGAAATATTAATCATTAACTGAACTTTAGTCATGAGGAAATATTCATGTTTCTATTTATCTCATTCGTCATTAAATTATTTAAAGGGTTTCCTTTCTTAAAAAGAGACAAAAATGACAAAAGGGTCATTGATTAAAGGAGGACACCATTCTTCGAGAGGGTTATTTTTTCATGTGGAGAGGTCATAATAATTTTTCACAGAGGGGTAATAATATAATGACCAGAGAGTCAATATTCTCTAAACGATATATACCGGGGGTCATAAGTCTATGGTGGTTACCTTACTTTGTTATATTGTGTTTTGTTTTCTTCCAAAGCTAATCCGTTTACCGTTATAGCTTTACGGTGCTCTACAGTTACAGTACACAATATATAAGTTAGCCTGTAGCGCTTAGTGTAAAACTTTGTACCATCAGATTAGCTTGGAAAACCGAAGATACTCTTAATGCATAGATCCCTGACCTGTCTTATTCTAATTATCAGATTAGTGGATACAATACGAATTTCACCACAACATATTTATTAACAAAAGTGCACATGTCTAAGTTTGTGGTTAAATCTATTGTTATTTAAATAAAAGGTCAAAGTAGGGATCAATCAATTCAAGAGAAAGTTACTTATAAATCGCTTTTCAATGACTGCTCTTTGGCTTGAAGCTTTTAAGCTTCATTATGTCCGTCTCCATCCATTTAAACGCCCTGTCAAATTTGAACGAAACATTCCTGAGCTATTCTATAAAAGGCGTTATAAAATTAATGGTCTTTAACGATCTTTTACCCCGTTAAAGCAGTAATGTCATCTGCGTGAAGTGTCCCTTTGGTAACCCCCAACCAGTCCGCTAAGTCCAGCAGCCCAAAGGCCTAGATGTTATATATTATTACATAACATTGCCATACGGACCTGCCTCAAGTCGATATATATATATAATTGTCAAAAGTGCCTAGACTTTCACAAGAAATCATCTCCATGTCGGAAACTACTTGTTAATGAGTTTAGATATGTTCAGTGTAACATCTACCGAGAGGGATCAAAATTGGTCACGAACAGGGGTTTCATAATTCAGTAAAATCTGAATAAAAAATGTTATCAGATATGTCAAGAGTACGCGTATAAATATTTGATGTGTAACAAAGCGTTGTGGGTCTCTAACAAATTATGGTCATTGAGTTAAAACTGATTCTTCGCCAGGACACTTAACATCATACTAAATTACTTACAAAGAATTGAAAAGTGTTCAGCTTTTTGTCAAGCATAGCTTAGTGGACAAATCGGGGCAATGTTCATTAAAGCATAAAGGTCACTTTGACACACGGCGTTAGAACTTAAATTATTTTCTCCTGATCCTGATACAACTTTTACATATTGAATGGCATGTCATAGATTTCGTCGTGGATACATTGCATATACATGTAGTTCTATGATTTCTATCATTGGATAGTGTTGTAGGTCCCTGTCAAGGTTAAAGTCACAAATGTAAAAATATAATTTCTTCACCAGTAATCAAACACCCAGAGCATTATCAAAGAATACATAGGTGGATGAACGACACACTGCTCATAATATCATCTTGTTTTGACTATCCATTTTAACATAAATGTGAATTAAAATTCTCTCAGTTTGTACGTATTCTACTAGTATATGGATTAGTATCAATATTGAATGTTTTATCGTTTTATATATACCATTATCAATCTAGCTTACTATTTCTTATAACTTTTATGTGGATAAAGTCTGCTGAATGAACTAATTTTAGTTTTGCTTTCTTTACAGCACTAACTATAATAATCGTAAACACAATATGTGCACAAGGTGTCAGGAGAAGAAACTCAGGTAATAAATAATTTTGTCCCTTTTCCCTTCCCAACTAAAACTACAAAAAAACCGACTTCAATAACGAATTTATGGACCGGACACGAATTCGGGACGTACGTACATACAGACGGACGGACAACCCGGCGACTATATGCCCCCCCCCCCCGAAATTTTTCGGGGAGCATAAAACATCCAGATTTGATATTTAAGCATCACATAGCATTTAATAGGAGGCTTTAATGATAATAACTTTATAATTAACGGAAACATGTTTCAGTAAATTGCTGTGAGGAAAGATATTAGAAACAACTCGCCACATTAATACCTGAATTACGGAGGTCACTGTACTTCTTTTTTATAATCTTGATTTGTACTAACAGCCAGTAGATACAGATGCCTGGCTCGGCTTGAAAGGTTGTAAGCTTATATAACCCGGTTTATATTGCATTGTCAGGCATCTTTATAACGAATTTATAATACAGCATAATTACTTTACATGTATTTTTGTGATTATCAATCATCCTATTAGAGGAAATCTGTAATGACTAATCTTCCGGATTATTTTTCTTTTCATCTAATTCATACACTTACAATCACCAATATTAATCACTTTTATTCATCCTGTAATATTCATGATAATGTAGATATACTAAATGTTTTATTTTGGATGAAACTAGAAGATGATATTCATATAAGAACAAGATATGATGCAGCAGAACAAACATATTCATCAAGACACCTCATGTTTCTAGAAGACGTACCTGCTAGTAAGTGTACAAATAACTAAAATACTCCATGATTAAAAGGCACATATTATACATTACTTTAATTTTATCTTGGATTTGAAATTAATGTCTATTTAATAGAATAAGTCGTTGTATACTTATCCCAGCATTGCTAGCCGAGAAATACACTGTATTTTCACTTGTTTATTGGTATCTTCCGCAGGTATTTTGCAAGAAACAATTTGATCTAGAAATCGTAAAATGTGGGTTTTAACAAGCTAATCACATGGTACTAACACACTGACTCTCAATGTTATACCTTCACGGTGCAATAACGTTTACAATAGATAAGTCATTCTGTCAAAGTTGTAACTGTAAATGTTTGTTGTAAGGGTTAGATTGTTGACACCACTTTAACTTTAAAACTATAATCGTTATGTGTAAAGTATTTGATAAAGATTAAACACTTATAGTCAATATACAAGTCATATATAAGTTTATAAATTAGTAAATAAAAATTACAAATATAATTATGTAGTTAGGTATACGTACAATGTATTCTTGATGCAATATTTGTTTTTATAAATATACAATTTATATAGTTGCATATGATTTTAATCAGCAGCGCATATAAAAGTAGATTTTATTCCATTGTAAAATAATCAGTATTTTTTTTTTTTTTGGTTCGAAGTTGTTTTCATTGATGGAATAGGCTTACATCAATTTGCCTAGTTTGTAAATATTTATACCTATACACATGCACCTCAGTAAAAGTGATTGTAATTCACAATTTTTCATGCTAAAACCTAGATGAAAAATCATTTTGTCACAGAAAAAAAAACTTATGTATATTTATATACAGGTTGGACAGCATGGAGTATTACGAAAGCTTGCTCCATTTCGTGTGACGGTACAGGTTACCTAGAGAAACGGCGCACGTGCTCGTCTGGGGTATTAGCGGATTGCGAAGCTCAAGGAGGAACTTGGTGGACAGTTGTAGCGTGTGATAACGGGCCATGCACTGCTAGTATGTTAATATTTTAAAATAAAATTGAAACAAATTACGTTATAAAAAACACAGACGATTAATTCACATTCGTTAAAAATAAATAGTTTATAATAAATGGTGTATTTTGGATAAGAAAATAAATGAACGAGTGTTAAGCAAACACCCATCTTATACAAGACTTAACAACAATGGACAATCGTTATCCTAATTTCAATATGGAAATATTGATGCAAATAACGATAACAAACTTACTAGTCGAGCTATATGTTGAAAGTTGATTTATAATAACGGTATATAACACGACGAGCACAAAACCTGATTCGCGAAAATGCCTGCTTCTCTCGTTTTATCTCAGAATTTTCTATGTTTATATTGCATTAGGTTGGACAGAGTGGAATTCTCATACTGCGTGTTCAAAGTCATGCGGTGAAGCGGGGTACTTCGAAGTTAAAAGAAATTGTTCTAATGGAGTGTTACGTGATTGTGAGGCAAATGGCGGCAAATATTGGGAGATACGTGTCTGTAACAATGGAGCGTGTGTACCAAGTAAGAACAGTTTATTTGATACAGTTTTCATTTTAGATTAAAATACTGTAAGTGTATGTTTCAGAAATTATTTAGCAAATTATTGAAAATGTCAAACGTACTAGCATGCTACTTTATATTGTTTTCTTCTATGATCACAATTACTTGATTTTCACTTATCGGGGCAATTATTGAATTTGAGTACTAAATGGTTAATCTTACAGTCTCACATCTTTATGTGCTCATCACACCGTTTATGCAACCCTTCATCACTAGTAATAAAACGCTTTAGTAGTCGGACCAAATAGGCCTCATCTGAACCTTTGCCTGAAAAGCCCGAATACAGTTGCGATTGACAATTTGAGATCGAGAACAGTCATAATTGGAATTTCTCTTTCTTGTTTACACTAAAATAAGTATGTTTCATCCTTTGTGACAGCTTGGTCGGAGTGGTCAGCGTACTCGGCATGTTCAAAATCTTGCGGAATTGGTGTAACGGTAAAATACCGTACGTGTAACACTGGTCGTAATGATGACTGTACTGGGAAATCGTATGAACTAAAAACCTGCGCCCCAGGATCATGTACCGGTTTGTATAAAAAAAGATTATAATACTCTGAAGGCTACAATCCCTCTTAATATCGACAACATTTGAGACTTTTTTTAACGAAGGTAACTTATTAAGACAATACATCAAAGCATTAGATACAACACATATAATGCAAAATCTTTTTTTCAACAAGGCCTTCTTTAAAACATAAACATAACAATGGACATGTTAAAGCAACTATAAAGATTACAACATTTAGTAAATCTTAAATCAACAAAGAAGACAGACATAATATTATATTATAGTACAGGTAAATTTTATATAATTCATCTTTAGATAATAATAAATGTTTGAAATGTGATTTAAACAATTTAAGACTTAAAAAAAATCTTATTTTTAAAGGAATAGTGTTCCATAGCTCCATACTAGAATGATAAAAAGTACGTTTCAAATAATTTGTTTTAGGTCGTTTATGCATAATGTCTTTTTTATGTGTTGATCTTAGAAAGTAAGTTTTTATTTTGAGATAACGGAATTAGATTAGAAATATATGCTGGCGTTAATTTATTCATCGCTTTATATAGCATAATTCCAGAAAAGTATTTTAACATCTACATGGAAAAGATAACCATTTCATATTTTGAAACATTTCAAGAGCATTTGTTTTACGGGTTTATTAAAAATACTTAAAAGTGTGCAGCGTGTTAGTTATTTTATTTTTAGATTTCAAGGTTATGTTAATAAAATTTGATGAATTATTAGGTGATTTATAACAGATCTATTTGAAAACATTTTTAAATAACGTAAGTAAGGGTGATGTATACTTTTCATTGTTTTGAAGGTGATAGAACAACTACAACAACAACGACGACGACGACAACAACTGCTGTGCCAGCATGTAAGATTGACGTCTTCTATGTACATTCATTTCATTTGTCCTATCAGCTATTTACCGTCAATCAAAGGTCTATACAAACAAGTACAAATGTTGCTGCAATGAAGCAATTTAGAAGCTCCGCCCAAAAATGCACTCATTATGCCATGGATATCTTACCAATTCATTCCTACACACAAGGCCACCGTAGGGAACGTGTTACAGTATCGCGTTTTTCGGTTACAGTATAGAATTTTCAAGATGGAGGATTATTTATGGGAAGAGAGTTAGGTGATTTTTATTCAGGTCCATACTACTAGTAGTTTAGTTTCTAAAAGATGTTTTTGTGTTTTGTTTGTAAGGAACATAATCCGGTATCTAGTCATATATTTTTTCAGACCCTGCACCGCAGATTTATCTCTATATTGTCTCATAAATAGGCAGATTTGATGGTTTAAAAATTTGAATCGAGAGACCATCGCATTTTTCTCCAATTCCGACATAATTTAAGTATGCCTAGATAAAGTAAATCTACAAAACGTTAGTCCTTTATGTTTAGAAACGTTTATAAAAGTAAATGACCAGTTGAACCTATTTTCCTGTTGGTAAAATGCGTTTGAAAAAATAAACAATGTTACAGTATAGAGCGAGGTTAATTTTGAAGGGTTACAGCATAGACCTAGCGACTTTGATCCAATTTTGTTACAGTTTATACCCAGATTTCGGTTACAGTTTAGACTTCGGTATTTTCTATTTGTACGAATGTTACATAGACTTTTAAATCTCTGTGAGCGTATTGGCCCGATGGCTATTCGTCTGTCTCACGTACACAAGTGTGTGCGATCCCATCTGCTCAGTAACTACTTGACTAAATTTAAATGTGATGCAATTTACATGACTTTCTACCTAAGTTGTTCAAATGTTTTTGGTTGCAATCGGGGATACGAAAACCCAAATCATAGATTTTGAAAAAAGGCAATGTTTGAAGACCCTTCTCATCTCGAACTAAAAGCATTCAAATCAAATCATGATCATGGCGTCATTTCGAATGCTTCTTTGTTGAAGTTACGATTATTTTGTCATTATTATTAAATTAAAAGTCGTTTTTTTTTATTTCAGACATCCTGTATAGCAGTTTTCATGTTTCTGAAAAAGAAAATAATATCAAAAGTTATAGAGTATAAATTAAGGTCAGACAATTACAATATCTTCTCTAGTGAGCCTGATGGAGGTACATAATAGTGGCAGAGTCGACTTCAAATCATCTTTCATTTACTGCTGTTGTTGAAATCCAATCATGACTTTGGATTCTTTGTATGTGAGGAATCTATCAAGCTAATTTACGTTAAGTCGGTGGTTTTAGTCAGGTGCCCGGTCGTGTCTGAAATGTTTCACAGAGGGTATCTGGGGTCTTTCTTAACACTAAAGCAGGAATGTTTTCACATGACCTTAGTGTCGTTGAAACTTAAAATCCAAGAAAGCCAAACGTAACAAAATAGAGTTAAACAGAATCCCTTAAAAAATTCCAACACAACAAAATTTAAAATGTTTACAAACCCTTTTAAATACAAATGTATTTACAAAATACATTATGGTAGATGGAAATTTCAACATAAAAAATTTAAGGTTGCAGTATTGCGCACTTAAATACTGTGTAATCATTCTTAGGGTATTGTCTGCTTGTCAATTGTGTCTTTTGACAGCTTATCTATGGTATGCAGGCTTCATAACCTCCGATCCCCTCTCAAAAATTCATTTTGTTTAGTTTCAATCATTGTATTCTCGTTTAGGGCACACGCAATTTTTTACCTGGGGGTAATATGCCGCTTTTCATAGACTGGCAATAACGTGTCACATTGAAGGTTCCATGATAACCGCCATATGAACACATCCACAGATGTTAAAAAATTTGAAGTGTACCAGTTCATGTTTAATGTGAATTCTGCTGAAGCCGGTGTTATAAGCCGTGGACGGTAGCTTGCAGTTACCACTACCGTCCATGAACGGGTTAATTTAATCAAACTGAGCCTGCAACATGTTCATGTTTTCCGTGTTGGACTTTAGTTAAGTATTCTTTTTTCTCTATTTTATTACTAATAGGCATCATTATAATGTGTAATGAAATCAAGCAATAATCTTTCTTCTCTCAATACAATTCGATAAAAGTTACTGTTGTTGTCGTGAAAACAATCCTTACTTAGGACATTACTAATTCTGCAAAAAGTCTCAATCTGAAACTTGAGGTAAGAAAAATAGGAAACTGTAACTTTTCTGCTGAAGAAAAAAAGTAATACAACCTTTCAAGAATGTATTAAATAGAAAGGTATGAGTTATTTCATGAAAATAATGGATACACGAACTTTGTTTGAAATTTGGCAAGTATCTAAACTGTAACAGAAATCTGGGTATAAACTGTAACAAAATTGGATCAAAGTCGCTAGGTCTATGCTGTAACCCTTCAAAATTAACCTGTAACCCTGCACAAATTACCTCGCTCTATACTGTAACATTGTTTATTTTTTCAAACGGATTTAACGAACAGGATAATAGGTTCAACTGGTCATTTACTTTTATAAACGTTTCCTTACATAAAGGACTAACGTTTTGCAGATTTACTTTTTCAAGGCATGCATAAATAATGTTGAAATTGCAGGAAAATGCGTTGGTCTCTTGATTCAAATTTTCAAACTGTCAAATCTGCCTATTTATGAGACAATATAGCGATAAATCTGCGGTGCAGGGTCTGAAAAAATATATGACTAGATACCGGATTTGTTCCTTACAAGCAAAGCACAAAAAACATCTTTTAGAAACTAAACTACTAGTTGTATGGACCTGAATAAAAATCACCTGCCTCTCTTCCCATAAAAAATCCACCATCTTGAAAATTTTATACTGTAACCGAAAAACGCGATACTGTAACACGTTTCCTACGGTGAAGGCATTTTCTATTTAGATTAAGTACTATTGTACATTATTCCGGGTGTTTTGTAAATCATTTGATTTTGCATAATTATACTTATCGTATGCACTGTCCATGAGAGAGGGACTGGATATTAAATTTTTGAAGAAATATATGACTAGATACCGGATTTGTTCCTTACAAGCAAAGCACAAAAATATCTTTTAGAAACTAAACTACTAGTTGTATGGACCTGAATAAAAATCACCTGCCTCTCTTCCCATAAAAAATCCACCATCTTGAAAATTCTATACTGTAACCGAAAAACGCGATACTGTAACACGTTTCCTACGGTGAAGGCATTTTCTATTTAGATTAAGTACTATTGAACATTATTCCGGGTGTTTTGTAAATCATTTGATTTTGCATAATTATACTTATCGTATGCACTGTCCATGAGAGAGGGACTGGATATTAAATTTTTAAACAATATGCTTTCACTGATGCCTACCTGGTAAAGAATGTAATTCCAATACAAAAAAGAGTAACAAGACTTGTTATTTGACATGACAGCAGACAGCAGTGCAATATTGTTCTGTTTGTGTCACTACAGTAGTCAGTAATATTACATGATAAAAATATCAAAGCATGTACATTTTCTTTTTTTTTTGCACGTATAATGCTTTTCATTTTCTTCAAATATCAACACCTAATCATGGTAAGAAATATAAAAATCCATATGCAAATAAGCATAAACAAATTTTCATCGACTTAATTTTTTCAAAATTTCTGTTACATTTTTCGCGGCAAATGGCATATCATGATATAACAAGAAAGGCATTGATGCAATGCATCAAAGGGCGTTTAGGCAAGAAATGCAGCAAGCGACGATGAACTAAGAGACATGATCTGATGACCACATTTTATTTTCAATGGTTAATTGGATTTAACCAGAATTGTATATCATAGATGAAAACATTGTTCATCACGAACTTTAGTAGGCTTGCTAGATATTAGAATATTAAATGTATTTTATTTGGCACATAAGAAACAGTAGTTAAGTTATTTCAAGTCCATGATAAATACTGAAAGTAGAACACACACTGGAATGAATAATTTGGGATGAATTTCAAAAATACCAATTTCAGGATTTTTTGTTAAATGCGTTCACAAAAATAACGGTACATTAAAATCATGAATAAATTTGCATGGCATGTTGATATGGGGAAACATTATTTATCAATATAATGGAAGACTGTCACTTAATATCTATCAACATTCGGGAAATCAGGCTCGATTTAAATATCCATGGTAAAAAAATGTCAGAAGTACAATCGGGGGAGCTATTAATTTATCGGGAAGTACCTGCGGAAAAGAAAATACTATGATATAACAATTCGTAAAAAAGGTCTTTTTTCGATAATTTTTTCAAATATTTATTGTTGGATTGTTGCATTTCATTTCTTGCAAAATTCTCCAGTTCGTTATTTAATATCATAGCGCGACACGTTTCGTTTAGATTCAGACGCATTAAACTATAAATAGATTGTCGTGAAATTTGTTCTCGTTCTAATTCATTAATATAACATGCTGCGAATCACCGAAGGGGAAAGCAATATGACCTGCATTTATAATAGAAATCGGAAGGAATTCTTCTTTCCGTATTTATTTTTAGCTGTAAATCGAAAGGATTAATTGATAAAAATCGGGTCCATGGACAAAAAGAAATAGCAATCAGTATTAAAATTTGGGGTTGTACACTGTATTAAAGAAAAGGTGTGGGATTTTGTCCAAAATTCATATGTGGTAAAACGTAAGTTAGTTCCTATGGGGTCTTACGTGGTTTTAATGTGACCTGAACGTGGTCTAAAGTGCGTTTTGGGGTATGTATTACGGCTCTGCGGCGACTATGACGTTCATACAGCGTTTTCATGGCGACTGCAAGGACCTCCTGGAATCGCCATAGTCGTATATAAAACTACTTGGTCGGACTACAAACGTTTTTGGGCCAAACATATGTCAATCAATTTAAATGCGTTTTTACGGCGATTATGCTGCATATACAGTACGTTTAAAGTACATGTTTGGGACTCTACGGGGTTTCTACCGAGGTTATAGGGTCCCTAGGGCTTTCTAGTTCAGGATGTAGTGAGAACGCCAATCTCCGATGTTTGCTTTAAGCCGCTGTGACTCGGCGTTTTGAGTCGTTCACAACTCGACCCTACGGCGTTTCCTAAGTCGCCCTTGAAACATAAAATTATTTCAACATGCATCAACTGTTCCACAGTTATATTCGTTAGTGAAAGAAACAATAAAACTAAACTTCGGATGTTTCATGCTGTAATTTTAATTAAAATCAACACAAACTAGTCTCATATTAAATACGTCGATTACTTTATTATAGCATGGTCAGAATGGACTACTAAGATCATTTGTTCGGCTTCTTGTGGGCCAGGTTATAGCGAAAAGATACGTACATGTTCAAGCGGACATTCCAACGATTGCACGGGAAAGGCGTGGGGCGTTTATGCATGTAACCTGCGAAAATGTGTCGGTAGGTTTCAGTTACTTCAAGCTTGATATATTGAAGGATATTGTTTAAATGTTTCTGTTTCTCATTGTTACGAGCCAGGCGTAACGAGAAAGAAAAGCCAGCAACAAACTTGTAACAATAACAAATTTATTACAGAAAAATAGCAACTTCAACAATAAAGAACATTCCAGAAGTTTCTATCTAAATATAATGAGTTTTCTACAACAATTAAGAAAGTTCTAGTACATACATGTAGTTAATGTTCTAAAAATAGAACAATGATAATATTGGAAATACCAACTGGTCAGATATAAATTATATACATGTAATATGTTGCATACATAACACTTCCCCTCTTCAAGAAAAAGAAATATGAATGAAATGAATATTTCTTTTACATAAATCCAAACAATGTAACTTACAAATAACATAGGAGAAATGTTAAACAATTTTATACATTCATATATATGTGTATTACAAACAATAGCAAACAACAACAACAAAAAAATCAATCATATCATATAAATGTTAAATTTAAAATACTGCAAATAACAGTTTTAGACACGTGAAAGTGCATCAGGGATCAAATTATCTTTCACTTTAATGTGTCTAATGTCAAGACTATATTCTTGCAAAAATAAGCTCCACATCAACAACCCTTGATTTTTGTGTTTAAGTTTATGCAAGAAAGTGAGGGGATTGTGATCACTAAAGACAACAACAGGCAACTTTGAAGAAGTTAGATAAACTTCAAAATTCTGAATAGCAAGAATAAGAGCAAGGCACTCTTTCTCTATAGTAGAGTAATTTTTCTGATGTTCATTAAACTTTTTAGAAAAGTAACAAACAGGATGGTCAACACCATTGTTGTCTTCTTGGATCAATACACTTCCAGCACCTATGTCACTAGCATCTACAGCTAACTTAAAGTTTTTATTAAAATCTGGTGTTAAGAGAACTGGTGCACTCTTAAGTATGGCTTTAAGGCTGTCAAATGCCATTTGACACTTGTCATTCCAAATGAATTTGTTTCTTTTCTTTAGCAAATTTGTCAATGGTTCTGCAATAACCGAAAAATTATTACAAAATTTACGATAAATACCCTGCCATACCAAGAAATCGCATCAGTTGTCTTTTACAAGTAGGCACAGGAAATTCAAGAGATAGCTTTGACCTTAGCTTCTATTGGTTTAACTTTACCCTGTCCCACTACATGTCCTAAAAATGTTTAAAATTGCATGACAAAATTCACTTTTTGCAAGATTAACACTGTCAATTT